TCAAGACACATAGCCAGGGCCTCTTGTCTAAGGTGCTCTGGGAAAGAAAGTCCTTTGTAAGGATCATGGCAGGTGATCAGCCTCCATCCTTCTTGGAGGGACAATGAGTGCATATAGGAGGACTCCAGGAATGGATCGTTAGGGACCTGACAACAAGAAACAAACATTTTAGTGCACTGGGCTTCCCTGCCAGGGTATTGGTGATGAGGCAATGGCCAGGTTTTGCAAGGCCACCGCTGATGCTTGTCATGTCACAAGTCCCAGGGCCACAGCTGGCAGTGCAAGCACTCACCCCTGGTTGGATTCCATCCAGAGGTGCATGTTGGTCCTTCACTGTCTCGGGGTGGCCCTGTTAACTCTGTGAACAGGAGCCATTCTAGAATCTGCAGGCTTTGCAAAAATATTGGCATGGCACAGATACTCCATGGAAAACCACTTCCTGTAAATGCAGCTCCATGGAACAGAGCCAGAGGTGCAGATGCAGCAGGGAGAGGAAGCCATATTTCTCTGGAAGCTTCTGCAGTTTCAGCTTCCTCCACACCTCCCTATCCCTAGTCTTGGACTGCCTGGAGCCTTCTGACTCAAGCACCTGTACCTGAGCCTAAATGGAGACCAGATCCTTCTTTGCTGTTCCAGGACCTGGAAGGTGCTGGGAAAGTGTTGCCAGTCCAGGCCAAGCTCCATACTCCTTGTCACAGATGGGCCCATCCTGGCCCTACATCGCCACCTTTCCATGCTGATGACTGCCACCTGGACTCACCTTCCACACAAAAGTGGTGGGCACAGTTTGAGGATGGGAGAGATACAGCTGTCGCCTGCAGGGTCTCACTGACTACCAGCACCAGCATCACATATATACCAGTTCAAGTTTTGGCTGCTCCACTTCTAATCCTGTTCGCTGCTAATGTACTTGGGAAAGCAGCAGCACATGCCCCAAGGACCACTGGGGTCCCTGCACCTATGTGGGAGACGTGGGAGAAGTTCCAGGCATCCACCTCTGGACCAATCCCGCACTGGCCATTATGGCCATTTGGGTATTAATTAAATCGGCAGCTATTTCTTTCTCTCCTTCTCTCTTTGTGACTCTGTATTTTAAATTTAAAATAAGCAAATATTAAAAAAAATATATATATATATAAACCTGGAAGTGTTATTAAGGATTCCCACCTGGTCCTTGAGTTCACCCTCTCCTAATTCTTAGTACTTCCTACTGAAGTCCACACTGCCTGCCTTCTGCACTCTCATTTCTAGAAAACAAACAAACTAAAAAAAACTGACTTGAGGAAGATTCAGTGAACAATGAGATTCCATTCTCTGCCATGGTTCATGCCTTGTTCCCTCCTTGCCCTATCAGTGGCTGTACCGTTCCTGCTTCCAATGAGCAGAAAAGACTGGATTCCAAGTCCTGAGAGCCCTGTCTCCTTGGGGCTCCACCCTCATCCCTTATTCTCTTCCTTGGTCTTTAGCAGGCACGAAAGGAATCCATGTGCAAAGCAGAGGAATTCATTCCTGTCACCAGCCCCCAGACAGCCTGCAATGCCTGTTGCCTCACCAAAGACTGGGAGAGACATTGGGTTCAGATTCTAGGCAGTACCACACTGCACTCCCAAGCTCTGTGCATATTTGTTCCTCAGGAAGGTATTTAAGCTGGGATGTGGTCTGGTAAAGGAGTGCTTGAGAAGAGGATGTTCAGCAGATTAGGGGTGGGAGCAAGCAAGAGGGGATGAGAAGAGAGTGTCATGCTGAGTGTCAATCATCCCACTTCGGGGGATGTTTGACAACTTTAAAAGTTGTGAAAGTCAAACTCTGTTCACGCCCAAACTTGCATCTCTCAAATGACATTTTTATACCTAAGAAACTGACAGAAATGATTTGAATAAGCCAGGTCAATGAACACAGCAGCCCCCTATGTTAGTGATAAGGAACATGACGGAAAAGTTGTGGTAGAATCATCCCCAAATGGGTCTTTTCCAAACATCTTCACTGAGATATCATTCAGTTGCCTCACATTTCACCCATGCCAGGAAGACAGTTGAGGCTGCATTTAGTGTGGACACTAGTTAGGACTGCTGTAGCCTCTCCTGCAGCTTTGGTTAAAGTCTTGAACTGGTCCCAATTCCATCTTGGCGATAATATTCAAGAGGCTCAGCTGCTTCTTGTGATGCCAGCATTGTATATCAGACAGCCAATTTGAATACCAGCTGCCCTATTTACTGTGTCCACTTCCTGCTGATGAGCCATGTAGGAAGGCAGCAGAAATGATGGATCTCTGCCATTCTTGTGGGACAACTCAGTGGAGTTTGGACCCTGGTCTTACAGCATTGAAGAAGTGAAACAGCAGTTGTCTCTGCTGCTCCAAAAAATTATAAAACTTTAAGTGAAAATTTAAAATTAATAACTCAAATGGTGTTTGGTATACTGACTGATATGTGCACCAATCAGTTCACTGAATTTAAATTTATCACCTCAGAAAGACTGCATCTTTATCTATAAACCCTTTCTCCTATCCATGCTTCTCTCTCTGATACCCTGCTACATTTCCATGTGCAGCTTTAAACAACTACCGTACTAATTTCATCACTAGAGATCAACAAATCTGCCCATTTCACACAAATAAATGATGTGTGATCTGCTACTGAGCTAACAATTTCAAGGTTTATCCACGGTGTAGCCAGGCCTGATTGCCTCTTACACTGAAGTTACTAATCAAATGGATATACCACGTTTTCTTCATTCATTCATAGTGGACGGACATTTGGAAATGGCCTGTTGGACCTTATTGTCCCTCCTCTCAACCAGAAATTTCTCACCTTTGTGATGGCAACTCTGCAGGTGGTCCTGGTCAAACTCCAGGTACAATGCTGTGCACCTACCTCAGTGAGAGAGGAGTTGGGGAGGGAGGATTATAGCAAGAAATCCTACCCAGGCAAGCCCAGCTTTGGTGGAGACTGAAGTGTGGATTGCCCAAAGGACACACAAGAACCTCAGCCTTCAGTTTACATTGGACAGAGGATGCACCTCCTGGAGATAGGACATGTCCTTGAGCAAGAGCACACTTAAATTAACCCTTGCAAGATGGAATTGATGGCAAGGACTATCTGGGAGCACTGAAGATGCCCTTCATCAGTACTGCTTTCACTGCCCATTCCAAAGCCTGTTTTAGATGGATGGAGGACATGTGAGTTATTATAGGTGCAGGAGAAGTTAGCATGGCCATGGGCATCTGAGAGTGGACAGCAGCTGACAATGGGGTTTTTCTTGTTGCAGCTTTAACAGCTTCCAGGGCAAAGCTGCGTATTTCGCACTGAAAGATTATGACAGAAGAAACAACAGATTCTGTTTTGCTCACTTCCAGTCACAGGGTTTATTTGTGTTGGTGAAATCGAAAGCGTAAAGCCACAACAAAGGAGACACAGACAGGACTTTTCATGCTTGAGTTGGGGAAGTTAGCCATGAGTCTCTATGCCATATCCTTTCTTCAGTCTGTGGCTTTTGATGTCCTTGCTCAGTTACTGGGAAGCAAACACAGAAATGGAATGATGTTCACTCTTCAATGTTTATAGAAATTTTCTTATTCAACCACATGTTTAATTAATACCCCCCCCAAGGCAACCCTTGCAGACATACACTATGTTAAAGTCAATACTTGACTTATTATCAAACAGGTTATTGGTAAATTCAAGGGGAGAGGAGCTAACATTCAATGTGATCAACAAAACAAAAGCAAGATATAGTGCTTATCTTAGTCTTTGTTTCAGGTCATGAAATTAACAAACACTGAGATGAAGAATAATGGGAATAATTTTCCTAAGCTGGTGTATGGTTGAAAACCAGAAAGGTCTTCATGAGTTACATGGAGTAACATAATGCTTTTGACGTACCTTTGACTCTGAGACCCAGTGATGGTAACAATGCTGTCGTCTGCCACTGATCTGTATAAAGACAGCATTATGTTCTGGGTTAGGAAACATTAATGTTTAACCAATTCGACAAAAATTTAAAAAAAATCATCCTAACCAATCAATGAAAAAAAAATATCTCAATATTTCTACTTTCAGATATGTCTATTAAAATATTGATATTGATACTTTCAGTATTTCTATTTTCAGATAGATCTAAGCCTTTAAAAAATTAACTAAAATCAATATTTGCTAGCAATCAACTTTCTTGCTTGCCTAGAAAATGGGATGGAACATAGTATGTCCGATATGTTTTCCAAATTGAAGAGCTAATTTACATGCACACATTCAAATTTTTATATCACCACATGTTTAATAATAGTTCAATAAATTATCTTACCAAGATAGTTATCTGTATCAGAATAATTATCCATACCAGAATTCATTCTCACTGCTTAACACCCGTAATCAGGCAGGTGAATCTCTCAGCTACAAGTAGTTACATTTTGTGGTATTGTGTAACCCTCAGATTTGCTTTGGAACACTTCTGTATATCAGGTTTAATGTTGGAAAGGAGGATCACAAGTGCCTGATCCTGACTACAGCTTCCTATTCACATGTGAGAACTCTGGCGGCTTGAATTCCTTACTCATGAATCTATCCAGTGCCTGCAGAGTGGTGGCCACACCCAAAGCACAGACATCTTATCTAAGCACTGGGTCGTGTCCAGGCCACTCTACTTTTGATTCAGCTCTCTGCTAATGCACTTGGGACAGCGGGGGAGGTGATGCATATGCCTGTGCCAAGGGACTTGTGTGGGAATCCAGGTGGACTTCTTGGCTCTTGAGTGGAATCTGGCCCAGTGAGGCTCTTCCGGCCACGTGGGCAGTGAACTAAGTAGATGGATGCTCCCTGTGTGTCTCTGTGTGTGTAATCCTGCCTCTCTCTCTCTGTGATCTACTTTTTAAATACATAAATCAATCGTTTAAAAGAATTCTATGCAGAGCTCTGGTTCTGTGTGCATGTGTGGGAAACCCTTACAGAGAAATATACTGTCTTTGGAGAATATGTGTTTGTAGACATAGGCTGTGGGTGGATATCCATATTTGGATTGAAAATTAAAATAGAAGTCGCTGGCATAAATGTGTTCAGCCAAATCAAGTCAGAGTGGTCATTTCACAAACACAATAATAGATGTTTTTTTTTTTTCAATCCTAAATACTGGTTCGTCATTTGACATTTTGTGACAAATGATCCATTATTTTGGTATTTTGTCAAAAGTATGACTTTTGTAACAACAGTTCTTATTCTGAAACAAGAGTATGACTTGATCCATTCCTGTTATCTGTCAATCAAGGTCCAAACTCATTTGGTTACATAGATACCTTTATTCATAATCCAGAATATCAACCTTAGTTGACTACATATAACTAGCTTTAAAAATGTTTAACTAATAAATATTAGTTGTATGTTGATAAACTGCGGTGTTGGTGGAAATTAGAATCATGAGTTTGTATCCTAATCCACATTCCTGGGAAACTGAAAGCCGTGCCCTGACTGTGTCTGTTCATCCCCTCAGCACAAGCCAATGTCACTGTAGTAACAGTGGTGTTGCCTAGAAATCCAACAGATCCTGCTGGAACCATTTGAGCCACAATGAATTCTCCTGGAGACTCCCTTAAGATTCCTGAGTCTTCGCAGCTTTTGCTGGGAACACCAAAGGTAGCCACATGCCTGAAATCTGAGACTTTCTTACTCAGAAAGTCTAAAAAGTAATCCATAAATCTTAGAGTCCCTGCTTGTAATATCTTGAATCATTTCCATTCTTCCCAGGACACATCCTGAAGCAAAATGTTTCCTTACCCTTCGGTTGAAGCTTCCGATCTGTTCTCAAACACATTTCTTTTTTTCCATCTTAAAACAATAATGCCAGTTATAGTGAGAAGAGGTAAAAAGATGTACAAACTGATCAAAAAGCCATTTTTTTGACGAGCTCTGTGTTGTGGTATAGTCCAGTGTTCATTTCTGCCTGAAAATATATAAGGATCCATAAACATCTGCAAATCATGTTCAGTTTACAATAATAATTTTAATCACAAGATTTGGGATTCAGCTATTATTTCTGCAAAACAGGTAAATATCAGTTCAAGTTTTTCCCACAGTCTGTGACAGTAGTCCAGATTGTATTTCATATTTGTGTCGGCAATTCAAAACAAGCTCTGCTCTGAGCATTGTGGCCATTTGGGAGGTGAAACAGTGGATGGGAGAGTCTGTGTCTCTCTTTCCCTTTGTAAATCTCCATTTCAAGTGAAAATAAGCGGATCTTTAAAAAATTTTAGATTTAAATGCATTACCATAAATGGACTTTTCCGTACCTTGATGGCACAATGAGCAGACCTCATAGATTCTGAGGCAGGCATAAGAATTGTGTAGACACTCACCTGCGAACCAGAATCCATCGTCTACACTTCCTCCTGGTGAGGTAGGAGATGGGTCACAAGAAGGAGGACTGAATCCTGGATCACACTGACAGTTAAGATTTGCATTGCAAACCTAAAACACAAGGAAAAAGCATGTGTGTGTGTGAGTGAGTGAGTCTGTGTATGACTTAAAAAAATAAAGGCTTGATAGGCAATGTCAGTGACCAAAGTAGTATAACTTAATATAACATTGTAACAAATACTGAAAGTTTTCAAATCAAAGTGTAATATGATGAATGTGAATGCAGTTTCTTCTCAGATATCCTGAAAGTATTTTCTTAGCTGTCGTATTTACAAATAAAAGTAGACAGCATTCTTCAAATAATTGAAAAATTTTAGAGGTAATGAAACTAGGAGAAACCAAGATTGTGAATTAAAATTTCTAATAAATTGTGCCAAATTAAAAACATGGGCAATGCTCTTTCGCTTAGCAACCATGATGCTGATTGGCATGCATGCCTTCTATGCCAGAGTGGTCAAGATCCATATCTATCTCTAATTCCTGATTTTGTCTTCCTGCTGATTAAAGCCCTTGGAAGCAGGGGTGATGGCTCCTGCAGTTGGGGTCTCGCCACTCACGTTGAAGACCCACATTGCTTTCCAGGCTCTACCCTCCAGCTTGACTCAGCCCTTGCTGTGGTGGGTGTTCGAGGTGTGAATGAGTGCATAGGGATTAATCCATCCCAGTCTGTCTTCTTTTCTCTCTCTATTTCTCTCCCTGATTCTCAAATACAAAGATAAATAAGAAAAACTTGCAAAATATATGGATTGACAATGGTTACCTCCACATCTTAGAATAAACAGAGGACAGCAGTCTCCAGAATGAAGACTGAATAATCCAACACAGATCATTAGAATTCATAGGGAAGGCTAGAAAACATCTGTGAATGTGTTCATTGAGTAAATAAAAAGAATGGATTGTGGCAGCATAAAGAAGGCAGAAATAAGGGCACACAGAGACTAAGTAAAGGAGGAAAGAAATAGGAAAGAAACAAAATTCACAGGGCACGAGAGTGACTCAGTGAAATGTTGGTACAAGGGTACAAACCCATCACTATTTCCTGAAACACCATTTAAAGCATGAATCATCCATATAACAGAAGCCAAAGTTTCCAAGGTAAAACTGAATGCATGCTTCAGAATAGTTTGCAAAACCTCTATAACCAGGGAAATAATTTTCATATGATACACAAGGAGAATGGCAAAAGGCCAAAATGAACATATGGTCTTCAGAACCAGTTACTATCAGTTACTAACTAAAAAGCATTAGTAATTGTGCGTGTAAGGAGAGGCTTAAGGAACTGATAAACCGTTTTGGGAAAACTATGAAAAAAACCATGTCTTCTTACATGGTGTGGCTAAAGGTTGAAATAGTATCTGAGAGAGAATATGCAGGTGGAAATAATTTAGATGGCACCTGCGTTTAGCCCAATAGCTGTTTTTCCATTTTAAAATTCATTTAAAGGGGACTGATTGCATATATTTCATCTATACAAATTGAATGACATAATAATACTTCCCTCCCTTCCTCTCTTCCAATGTCCCTCCTCCTCCTTTCTTTCTTATGTTTCTTTAAAGTCATGTAATAATATACTTTCAAATAAGTTTTACTGGCGATAGTTAGAGAAATTGGGATAAATATACAACAATCTCTGTTATTTCATGGTTGGTAACAATTTAAACTGCATTTCAAAGGCTATTAGAAAAGGCCTTTCGTAAAAGATTCATATAGAGAAATGAACAGAAGCTCTCAAAAGACGAAGCAAATCCTTGTGGGTAGAAACTTCAAATCACATAAAATGATAAATTATATAAATGTGTATACGATAAATATATTGTATGGCTTATGATCTATATGTAAGAAAATACACTCAACTATAAACAGTAGGTATATGCTTAAGTGTATAGTACAGATGTAATCCTTTAATGTTCCAAAATGTAGTCCCTTAATGTATTATACTACTATCAAAATGCCTGTGTCACATTTTTGTACATATTTAATGGCGTTTACGTTTCACACACAGTATCAATTTGAGACATACGTGAATGATATGCTCACATAAAATAATTTACTTTCTTTGACAACAAATTTTCTAACAGAGACTTTTACATCAAATACTTTAAGCTTTTATTATTATCTTGAAAAGTGTGATGGACCAGCACTATAACCGCTGTACTAGAAGTAATTCAGGGTCAAGTATCGTAACATACAAGCTAAGACTGTTTGTGGCTCCAGCATCCATTACAGATGCCAGTTTGAGTCTCTGTTGCGCCACTTTATATCCAGCTCCCTACTAATGTGCTTGTTTGGGAAAGCAGTGTGAGGAGGCTTCCAGTACTTCTGCCCAAGACTCCAAAGAAGCTCCTAGCCACTCAATTTGGAATGGCCCAAATATGGCTATTTTGACCATTTGGTGAGTGAACCAGCAAGATGAAAGACCTCTCTCTCTCTGTCTCTCCTCCTTTCTAAATGCTTTTAAATAAAAAGAAACAAAATAAATATGTAATTAAAAATAATCTGAAGGTAACATACCCCGTGGTTTCGACATTTTATTTCTGCATTACAATTTGGTCTATTTTGAATCAAGTCCATTTGTGTACAGATTCCTCTCATACATATCTGTAAACACATTTAATTGAAAGATGTTAGAGACAATACTAAAAATTTCACAAATACTGAAATCCATAGTTGATGCAAGAATTTTCTACAAGAATTATGTATGCATTCAGAACTCATGAATTACTATTTCATCTCCCCAATTCAAAACCACAAATGGATCGTGGATTTATTACCAACACCAACATGATATGTGATTGCCTTGTGAAATATTAAGTTATTCCATTGAGATACTTTGTTCTCCTCAGGGGAGCAGAGCTGTTGTTGTAATGCTATAAAGAACAAGTTAGGAATTCACGTTGTGACATAGTGGGTGAAGTTGTCACCAGTTTGTTGGCATACCATATTGTTGCTGTCATGACCAGGCTGCTCTGCATCAAACCAGTTCCCAGTGGATGGCATGTGAATCACATTTGAAGATGTCCCAGGTTCATGGGCCCCTGCCAACCATGTGGAAACCCTTGGATGAACCTCCCAGTTCTTTACCTCAATGTGGCCTCACCCTAGACATTGCAGCTATCTGGAGACATGAAGCAGTGAGTGCTGTATTCTCTCTCTCTCATTCCCCTGTTTCTATATAACGGATTTTCAAATAAGCAAATACATCTTATTAGAAGATTAGTGCACAAGACATTTGTAATCACTAGCATTTCTATGAACAAATTTTTGCTATTCTATACCTGTGCCACATTTTATCCTTTTTTGCCACGTAATTCAATTTACATGTTTAAAATCATTGACAGAGGTTGCTTCCTCACACATCTAAGTGAATACTAGGATACATCAATACTGCTGTACTTTTAAAGTTTTCTCTAACTTAAATGATAATGCACTAGCTCTCCACCAAGGGTCTGCCCATGAAGACATGAATCTGACAACTATTTATGCAGCAGTATGTGTCTTATAAGTGCCGATGGGACAGGGGGAGTGTTAATCGCTGCATTGTCCTAATTACTTGGATACCATTATTATCAATAATCTCATCATGATTTTCCACAATGCGGTCTTGCAGGTATTGCAATTCCTCCCTCCTCTCCTTTTTCTCTGCCTATGATCTCCTCTCACCATTATCCCCATATTATCACAGTAGAACAGTCGTTTGGTAATAGCTACAACTTTAACATTCTGCTATTTATATCGTGGCACTGGTAGGTATAGGAAAAGCTAGGAAATCTAGTTTCACACTGTCAAAGTGTATTTACCTATTTCATTGGGACCCCTCCTTTTATTTGGGAGTAGAGATGTGTACTACAATGTGTATTTTCCGTATGCTAGCTACCAATATACAGCCCTTCTATAAGAATATATGTACATACTTGCTTGCCTATAATTGTATTTATTTTTGTATATGACATGAAGGTTGTTTTATGTCAGAGAATATATGATATTTGTTGTTTTGGGCCTAGCTTATTTCGTCAAACATGATGATTTCCAGTTGGGGCCATTTGGTTACCAACAGTGGAATTTTATTCTCTTTTATGGCTCCAAAGTATTCCATTGGGTAGATATACCACATTTCTTTATTCAGTCTTCTTTTGACTGCCATCTGGGTTGTTCCTATGCCTTCTTTATTGTGGGTTATGCTTCTTAAAATATAGGGCTGCAGGTAGCTTTCTTGTATGCAGATTATTCTTCCTTTGGATGTATTTGGAGGAGTTGGGATAGTTGAATTATGGTAGATTTAGTTATCTGAGTTACCTCCATTCTGATTTCCAGAGCAGCCACATGTCTACACTCCAGTCAACAGCTGCAGTATGTACCATTCTTCCCACATCCTTGTGAGCAGGTTTGTTATAGGATATCTGGATGCAAGCCATTCTTATGGAGTTAGCTAGAACTTTGATGAGGTCTTTATTTGCATTCCCCTGATACTTAGGAAGCCTGAGCGTTTTTTCTTTTTAAGATTTATTTATTTTTGTTGGAAAGGCAGATCATATTGTGGACACTAGAAGATTCAGAGAGAAACATCTTCCATTCACTGTTTCACTCCACAAATGGCTGCAAAAACCAGAGCTGAGTTGATGTGAAGCCTGAAGCCAGGAGCTTCTTCTGCGTATCCCATACAGGTGCAGGGCCACCAAGCTTTAGGCTATCCTCCACTGTTTTCCCAGGGCATAAGTAGGGAGGTGGATGGGAAATGGGACAGCTGGGACATGAACTGGTACCCCTATGGGACCCTGACATTTTCAATGTCAGGATTTAGCCACTGAGCCATTGCACCAGGCCCATGAACATTTTTGAATTTGTTCTTTTAAAAAGATCTACTCATTTCCTTTGCTCATTGCTGAATTAGTCAACTAATCTTTGATAACAGAACTGAAAATGATGCTGGGGAAATTGTTGGTCTCTTCGACAAATGATATAGGGAAAATTGGTTATCTGCTTGCAGAAGTAAAAACAACAACTCCATCTTTCACTGTATATAAAAAGCAGCTTTGAATGCATCAAGGACCTAAATCTGCATCCAGAAACCATGAAATAACTAGAGGAAAACACAAGAGATAGGAATAGGAAAACAACTTCTTAGAAAGCAGACTGCCAGCATATGCAGTCAAATCCAAAATAAGCTAATGGGAACACATCAAGCTCAGAAGCTTCTGAACATCAAAGGAAATGATCAACAAAGTGAACAGGCAGCCAGCAGAATGGGAGAAGATCTTTGCACATTCATTATTTAGATTTTTTAGATAACTCAAATTTAGCAGAAAAAATGCCTGATTTCGTTTCCTTCTTTGAAATGACATTACCATGCATTTTGCGCCAGGGTGGTCTCAGTGGTTGCCTCCTTTTGCTTCAGGGTGCATACAGCAGCCTGCTCTTGTGGGCTTGGGGATGCAAGATTGCAAGGAAGAGTTGGGGATGGTGCTGGTGGGAGTGTGTGGGGACCTGGGGACTCATGTCCAGACAAGCGGAGGGACACTGGGGATTTTCCACGTGTATGGTCCCAGGTGGACTAGAGGCAGAGAGTCATAGATTAGCATGGAAGCCTGGTGTGCTGGTGGACCAGGCTTGTAGAACTTTGAATGGCCTGGATGTTGTGTATGTTAAGAGTTGTATACCAAGAGCTTGGAACCCTCGTGGGTGGGCAGAGCACCAGTCTAGCACAACACTTGAGCAAAAGACTGGGTTTCAGAAGGCTGGGCTGAGGATCCCATATGTTCCCAAGCACATGGGCTATGAGTTCACCAGATAAAGCGGTGTGTGGGATTGAGAACGACTGAAGAAGTATGTTGCAGGTGCAGGGACAGGTCACATCAGGCTTGGCCATGATACTCACCAGCATGCGAAAAGAGTTAAGTCTGGGGGCAAATTCTGTGGGGTATATGTGGGTCCACTCTTGTGGAACTGAAATTTGCACTGGTTTGCTTAAGACCTGGTGGTAGTGAAGGGCTGAACTAGGCATGGCCATGGAATCCTGCACATTCCTGCATACTGGGGATGGGATCAGGCTGGGCTGGACCAGGGTATAGCACCTGCAGCGACACCCAAGACTATAGAGTTGGATGGGCTGCAACATTCATGAGCTCATACAAAGGCTGGGATGGAGGGGCAGACTATGCTGAGTAAGGGCTAGCACCTGCCAAAGTATGTGAAATCTGTAACTGGGAGTTGACCTGATTGGGGAACATGGGAAACTCCTCTGGTGAGATGTATGTAGCTCCTGCTGGCAAGCATTTGATTCAGGCCTGGGTATTGGTCAAGCTGGACAAGGAAGTTCCACTGGTCAGCAAGTCTGTGGGTTTGTTATGCAGTGGGGTGGCCAGGGCAGGGTTGGGCCAACCTTAGCCCACTGGCATGAGCAGGAGCCAGGGGAAGTATGGGTCCTGCCAGGTGAGGCTGACATTCCCCTATTTGTATGAGTCAGGGATGGGAGTAGACTGGGCAGGGCTAGGCTGCAACACCTGCCAGCAAGAGTTGGGACTGGAGGCAGACCAGAACAAACCCAGACTGCAGCATCATATAACAAAGGCCAAGATGGGGAAAGGGTGGGCTATGCCAACATGGGTCAGAAAAACAACCGGCACACACAAGATCTGTGGCCAGGAACAGGCCTGGTTGGAGAGCTAAGGGGATACCCCAACTGGATTGTGGCTCCCACTGGTGAGTGCAAGAGCAAGAATGGGGGTGGGTGAATGATCTGGGCTGGACAAGACTGCAGTGTCCCTCAGCATGGATGTGGACTGGGTCTTGAGTGTGCCAGACTGGGCTAGATGCCCACACCTATGGTGCTCATGACAGCCAGAGTGGGAGTAGGATGGGCTAGGTCTTGACCCCTGCTGAACCACATGCGAGCTGTTTCTGGTCATGCACCAAGTGTGACTGGGACGTAGCACTCAACAGTAAGAATTGGAATGTGGGGCCCGGCGCAGTGGCGCAAGTGGTTAAGTCCTCGCCTTGCACGCCCGGGATCCCATATGGGCGCCGGTTCTAATCCCGGCAGCCCCACTTCCCTTCCAGCTCCCTGTCTGTGGCCTGGGAAAGCAGTTGAGGACGGCCCAAGGCTTTGGGACCCTGCACCTGTGTGGGAGACCCGGAAGAGTCTCCTGGCTTAGGATCGGCATAGCATCGGCTGTTGCGCTCACTTGGGAAGTGAATCATCGGACGGAAGATCTTCCTCTCTGTCTCTCCTCTCTGTATATCTGCCTTTCCAATAAAAAAATAATAAAAATAAATCTTTAAAAAAAAAAAGAATTGGAATGTGTGTGGGCCAGTTGGGCAAGCCACTATACATGCCAGGTCAGGAGATGGACTATGTCAGGCTGGGGCAAGGACCTATAGGTCTGCACAAGTTCTGCCACTGGGCAGAGACCTGATAGAGGAGCTTGGGGAACTCCTCTGTTAGGGTGCATTCCCTGCAGGTGAATGAAGAACCCTGGCTGCAGCAGCCCAGACCAGGCCAGGTAGTACCCACTGGCATATGTGTGGGTCATCTCTGGGGACATTTTAGGGTAGGTCAGTTTATAAAACCCACTGACAACCAGGACTGGCTGCTGGACAAGTTGGGTTAGGCTGCATCACCAGCCAAGTCATATTAGGCGTAGGACTGAGAGATTGGCTGGGCAGGGATAGGTTGTGTTACACACCAGCATGAGCTGGAACTGGGAGCAGACCCGGCTAGACCAGGACACAATACCCACCAACCAATGCCAAAGTGAGATAGGCCATGTCAGGCTGGGCCACAGCATCCACCAGCACACACAAGACCTGATTTGGGGGTGGGTGCTGAGCCGGCAGTGAGGCTGTTGGGGGCTCCCCTGCTGGGTCACTGTTCCCACTGGTGAGCATGAGAACTGGAATTTGGTCCAGACATGTAGGCACTTCTCTTATAGGCAGCAGCTTCCACTGATGGGCATGAGAATTAGGGCTGGGAGCAGGACTGGCTAGACAGGCTGTGGCACAACTGGCATGAATGTGCACTGGATATTGAGGACAATTGGGTTGAACTAGGGTTCAATGCCAATTAACATATAGGAGAGCTGCATGGCATGTGGGGCAGAGTGGACCAGTCTGTTGCACCTTCTGGCATGTGCAGGAACTAGGATTTGGGGTGGGTCTAGTGGGGTTATTGGGAATCGCTCCAACTAGGTTGCTCTTCCCATTGGTATACATGAGGGCCAAGTGTGTGGTGGGCAGGATTTGGCTGTGCCGCAACATTCATTGATTTACGTAAGAGATAGGACTGGTGGCAGAACTGACCCAACAATTACAAGTACCAATGTGTATGTAGGCACATGGGGGTGATAGCATGAGCAGGACCACATAGTGGCAAGCAGACCCAAATCAGGTTTAGGATCACTTCAGACAAGATTTCTTTGGAAATCCATCCCCCCCGCCCAATGAACTGTTGGAATTAACTACTCTAACCATGGGGAAAGTCGCAGGAACTATGGTCTTACCATAGTGTGCATGTGTCAGAACTAGGCCTCCTACATGGCTTAGTCAGAGCAGTGGATGGCATATCAAAATGCACATGGAGGGATATGCCCTTGCAAAGGACATCTGGAACCATAGTGAAGGAAGGACAGAATTGGTCAACTACCCTAGCCAAATGTTGACAGCAAATTTCTGGATGAATGGAAACTCCATGTCAGTCCTTGGGATTTTCTGATCCTTGGACTGGCGAGATGGGCAGCATGTGAGAACTGCCAAAGCCACTTATGCAGAACTCTTGGTGCATGCTCATATCAGGGACCCTGGAGTGATACTGGGTGGCTGTATCCCATCCCCAAGTACTGAGACATTTGTGAGGCATGCTGCAGCTTCTCCCATTAGATACAGGAAGAAGAAAAAGAAAATTTGGACACAATGGTCTTACCCACTTGCCCCTAATCTTGACCCTTTCCATTTTATTCAGCTATGTAAACATCATCAAAAGTCAGCTTTTTAAATGACATTGGCTTATCTTTTAGACAATTTTATTTTCAGATAAAAATCAGATCAATTTTTAGTACCTTCCATCCCTTACTGACAAATTACAACATCTCCTAGAAACTTTACCCTTATTACATAATGTTAGCAACTAATTTAGGATCCCTCGAATCCTAATCAATTAACTTTATACTGAAATCTTCCCTTTTTGAAGATTATTTGTTAATTTTAAAGGCAGAGAAGCAATGAAAGATGGAGGAAGAGAGAGTGACCTTTGTTTTATCAGTTCTAACACCTCCATTTTCATCTCTAATATGAATCTGAGTCTTCTCTCGCCAACCCTAATTTTCGGTTAATGGGGCTAATTGTTTATCTTCTTTTCTTTTTCCAAAAGACTAACTAGAGGCCAGTGATATGGACACTGTTCATATCCTAGCTTTACCACTTCCACTCCAGCTCTCGGCTTCGAGCCTGGGGAAACAGCAGAGGACAACCCAGATCCTTAGAAACCTGCCACCCATGTGAGAGGCCTGAAGGAAGCTCCTGGCTCCCAGCTTCGGATCAGCTCAGCCTCAGCCTTCGCAGCCATTTGGGGAGTGAACCAGTGAATAGAAGACCTTCTCTATTTCTCTCCTTCTCTCTCTCTAAAATTTGCATTTCAAAATAAATTCACATATTTAAAACGTAACTTGATTTCTCTGATCTTTTCTATAGCTTTTCAATTTTTTTTAAATAATTCCTTTCATTCTGCTAGTTTGGGGGTTTGCTTTGTTCCTGTTATTCCAAGTCGTTGAGAGACATTTTTGGTTATTTATTTGGTATTCTTTCAACTTCTTGATGTAGTTGGGACTTGCTATAAGCTTTCCTTTGAGACAGAGAGAGAGGAGAGAGAGGGAGAGAAAGAGATAGAGAAAATCACTGTGTATAATTTACAGTAAAATTTTAACTTGCCCTGTCTTCTCCGCACGTGGTTCCATCTTCCACCATGTGTGGGCCTGTTCTGGAATCATTTCTTGGTGCTGCAGACACACATAATTGATCTCCATAAAAAGTGTATTGATAGTCAAACTTTTTTGATTGTATTAAATTTGTAGTTTTCCATGCACAAACCAGGTTTCCACAAAACACGTGACTACAGGTATGAGGTAGTAAAAGTAATTCTTTAGTCAACATAGTCAATGTGCAATTTATTAGGTCAATGATAACTTTTATAACTTTAACTCAAAAATTTTTGAAATTAATGCTGAAGTGTTTTACACATGCACTGTTTTATGAATCCCAGGGTATAAATCTTTATTATATACATATATAAATATAAAATATATAACTAATATATGATATATATGTATGTGTATATATTTCTTGGCTTTTCTGAAGTCTACAGAATATGCACAGCATATGGAATAGTTTTAGAAAATAAATAAGTTGAAATTTTCTGAGTACCTACCTACTGAGACACCTACCACGGGCACATCTACCAAATGGGTCGTTCATAACATTTGTTTCTATTACACACATGTAATTTGCGCCTTTAGCATCTGAAAGAAAGTATAAAGTCACAACTACTCATATTTAAAACAAATCATTAGAAGATAAAAGTGTGGCAAGTCAACATAGAGGCATGTAACAACAACAAAAAGTGTCCTGGTAATGCTAGTCCTACAGATTCTCTTGCCATTTACTAGCTGTGCAAAAGGAGAAGCACTTTTGAAGGATAAGTCCAAATAGACAAATTAGCATTACAGTGCAGAAATGATAAAATAATGTGTCATTTGATCTCTTAAATGTTACTCTACTGGCCTTGTCCTTTCCCATCAGTTCAACTGAAATGTGATTAATGTTGTATCGTGTTCACACTGCCACTGAAAGATGCATTTTGCCTTTTAACACGAGTGAAAGTCCCTTTAATTTGCAATGTTATTATCAAATTTGGATGGAAAATCACAGCATGTTTTTAAAGATTTATTTATGTTTATCACAAAGATAGATACACAGAGAGGAGAGACCAAGAGGAAGATCTTCCATCTGCTGATTAACTCCCCAAGCAGCCGCAACGGCTGGAGCTGAGCCAATCCAAACTTGGATCCTCTTCCAGGTCTCCCACACAGGTGCAGGGTCCAAAGACTCTGGGTTGTCCTCGACTGCTTTCTCAGGCCACAGGCAGGAAGCTGGATGGGAAATGGGGCTGCCGGGATTAGAACCAGTGCCCATATAGTATCCTGGTGCACTCAAGGTGAGGACCTTTAGGCGCTAGGCCACAGTGCCGGGCCCAAAATAACAGCATTTTTTAGTGTGGTTAACCATTGCTGACTCTTTATAGTAACTAAAGATTAAAAATGAACCCAGGAAAAAAGATAAAATTCTTACATATTCCAAATAGTTGTGAGCACTGTCTTTCTAGACTTCTGCATTTTCCTTCCAAACAAAATGCAGTTTTATTATCACATTGTTGATAGTCGGCAGCTTTCATATCAGGTACACAAAATTCAGACGTTCCATTGCAATATTCTGGAAAATCGCATAAGTCTTGACTTTCCCTACATGGTGTTCCCCTTTTGGCAATCTGTGACACAAAGAACATGTAAGTGTGAGTGAGTGTGTATGTTTAGTGTTCTTCCATCATCACATACTAAAACATGTATAAATGAACATTGGGGTGGAGAGGTGCTCTGTTCTTTTTACCCTCGGATATTGATACACTATGGGTTAGAGAAGTATAAAGCTACAAAGGGATGATCACATAGAATGTATGAAGGTTGCCAGAAAAAAAAAAATCCCAAGAAAATGTTGAGAAGTTAGGTCATTCCATGAATATTAGAAGGAAAGATTCTTCTCTGTGAAAGGTCATTTACCAGCAGATGGGACTAATAGCTTACAAACAAATAAAATATATAGTAACCATATGATTCATGTCTAACTCTAGAAAAAAGTAACACAGATACTGAAATAACATGATCCGTGACATGCTTATGGACATGAAAATACTACCCACATGCCATGAAGAACTAGGTCAAGCAAAGCTTGTCAGAGACAGAGCAGGTTAAAATATTAGAAAAAAAAAGTCCAAACAGTTGTGCAATGAATGTAAGAGGATAAAACCAATCATGGTACTGCACAATGTGATACTTCGATAGCTTACCCTGCAGGTTGCTTTATCACAGCATTGGCTAGTGCCACACTCAGCAAATCCAATCAGAGTACAGTCTGCAGCATTACAGCATCTTGGGTGAGTACAATGCTAAAATCAAATACGGTCAAGTTAAGACAACATGTTCATCCACATAAATGATCACATTTGGTCAAGGATGGAATACATTACCAATGGCAGTCTGATAAGGCTGTAGAGGAACTGAAAAATCCTTACCCCCCAGGGATGAGGTTTATCTTGTGCAGTACAGTATGTTACTCAAGTGACTGAGCAAATGCTGGTGTAAACAAGCATCTCATACCATCAGTTATGTAAAATACGCCACATACCTCTGAGTACAATACATACTACTGGAGAGCAGTGGTAGTCAACTAGGTCATCAGGTACATATATTTGCTCATTTGTGCTTCTGACATGGTTTTGGAGTGTCCTCCTTCTACTCATGAGAGACAAGTGAACTGTAAAGCAGTCGTAGAAGGTGTCTCATAAGGAGGCTACATGAAAACATTGGTGTTACAGGAAATTTAAGCTCCATGCATATCATTGTCCCTGACGACTTGCCACTGAGACAAGAATGTGGAGGTGGAAAATGGTGAGACAGATGAGGCTGATGTGCTTTGGGCCTGATGAATGTGGATGCCTTCTCTTAGTTTCCATCATAAAATTCTAAAGGCAAAGCAAATAATCAGAAACAGAAAAGTTTATAGGGCTCTAGAGAAAGGAAACATATGTGTACATATTTACATCTAGCTTCATTTTGGACCTTGAAAAGGAGCCTTATTAACTTCCAAACTGCTGTCCCATATAAATGGGAGGGGCTCAAGTTCTTGGGCTCTCTTGTACTGCCTTCCCAGGAGCAACTGCAGGAAGCTGGATTGGAAGTGCAGCAGCTGGGACTCTCATTGGCACTTCACTACCAGAAGCAGATGTGGCAAGTGGCAGCTTAGCATGATGTGCCCCAACCCTGGCACATTGACTTCTGTATTTATTGATAGCCACCACTTCACTCATAACGTGTCGTTCATTTAGAAAGTTTTTATGGAGTTACCAGTAATGTCATGCTGTAGAATCCTGCAATGCCTTTAAAACTTTTTTGTACAAACATCTGCACTGTGAATGTGTACAGGTTTTCACTTATTATATCACAAATATATTTCCACATTTTTAAGTTTTCTAATGATGTAATCTTATAAATTTCTCTGTTTATTGTTGTATTAAGTTTTTACACATCCACTCATTCTGCTTTATTTATATACTAACATTCTTGTTACATTATGGTGTTCCTCTCCTTACGACATTTCCCCTAGCAATTTCATAGTAAGAGTATTGGCCCTTAACTTGTAATATGAGGTCGATTAAAAAAAAACATGCAGAAATGACAAAGTAGTATACATTTCCCATGAGCTTTTTGATGTACCCTTGTTTGTGTTAATGTATTTTACAAATTTTCATGACACCTTACATGAATAGCGGTAAAATTTATGAAAATGTTTGTGGCTAGTTATCATGTAACCATAATTAATTTATTTCTATTAAGAAGGAGATAAATAACTCTTCTATTCATCAGGGAAATTCCAATTAAACCCATTGCTAGCTAACAGTCTTCAGAAGTAACAAAAATTACAAAGTTAGGTATATAGCATGTCATGAGCATTGCGATGCTTTTCTTCTGAATAACTGTAGGACTCTCATTGAAACATGTAAACATATCTTTGCATTAAGATGCCAGGTTTTCTACCTTTGCTTATAATTACCATTTCATGATGCATTTGAATATCAGAAAATTAAACTTCTAATTTGTACTAAGGGACTATTCTATTGTGATAACATGAGGACAGATATGGGGAAGGGAGAAGAGAAAGAGGAAAAGAAGAATGATAAACAATATCTTGGGGAGCAATAAATTTTAAAACATATTTAAATTTTTAACATATTTAAAATATTTAACATATTTAACATTTAAAATATTTTAATAATTAATAATAATTTAAAATATTTAACATATTTAAAATATTTAACATATTTAAAATTTAAAATGACCAACCGATGGAACACCACAATCACATTGCTCATTTCCTTCCAAAATTCCATTGCCACAAGTTGAAAGTTATTCCTTGGTAAGCAACTTTCGGAACATTCTCTTTCTGAAGACATGCAAATTCAGGCTGTGACACGGAATGTTTGAAATCTTCTATGTTGCAACTGCTAAATAACTTTACACCACTGGACCATCTAAAATTAAAGTACATTCCTTAGAAAACTGGGTCAAAAACAGTATCAGAGTAGTAAAGTGTTAATTCTGAGTTATTTTGGTTGGAAAAAAAGCCAAAGAAAATGGGGGAAAGTCCTTTCAATACAAGCCTCAAACAAATGCAATGTGTTTGGTTTTTTGTTACACAATGTGATATGCTGTAAGAACCATATGGAAGTTTAAAGGATGTTAGATATTAACCTTGACTCACAATAAGCTCTACTTAGCAATATCGTTACATTATATAAAATCAAAACGATGATTAAGAAAATGAAACATACTGAGAAATTTAATTGGAGAAGTATAAGGCATACATGAGAGCTAATTATCCCCATGTACAATTCAAATTATTTGTCTTTGAGTAACAAAGTAATGAAATAAGATATTTCAGGAGGCAAGAACAAAAGGTACAAACTCTAGAGTCGATGTACTGTTTTGCACGTTTTACTCTTCGAACTACCAAGTGTAATGTTTAATGAGTTTTTGATTAACAATGATCTTACCACAGATTTGTCAAAAATTTGTTCCAAAATCACTGAGTTGGACATCAATACAACAGATAATAATTCTATGTACTTTAACATATGCTTCTGGTATAGAAATGGATTTTCCCTCAAGCTCTGGAAATAACAATAGATTTCTAGTATCTAACCATCAGATCCCATTCAAATTCACCCAAACATCAAAATATTGTAATTTCATGGAACTCGGCTCCCTTGTGGACAAGTCTATTGCACTCAGTTCTTATGAGTCCTTAGTCTACTAGTCTGAGTACTTGGTTCCGACTTTGCAAATGTGAAACGTTTTATAATTCTTGGGGAATTGTTCATAGAATTTCCCTCAGTTTATGTTAGTGACATATTTCCTTTTTGTTAAGAGACTGCATCATCCACACAGGAGCATGCCATAGGTCACTGCCTGAGCTGCTTTCTCCAAATGATGCTTGGCTCACAACATGCCACTTCATTTCCCTAAGCTAAAATGCTACTGTTTTCAAACCTAATAATTGGTAATTTTTTCACTTCCTCGACCACAAATCACATTCCAAGCCTTGTTGAGTTCTTAGAATTAATGGAATCCCAGTATCTCTCTAGTGCTTACACCAAAAAGCTTTTCACTACCTCCAGCAATGCCCTAAAACTTCCGTTCAACATTCTGTCTGCAAAACAGTGTTGAATATCAAGCTAAGTTACACAGTTTCTACAATATCCTAAACTCATTTTCTATATAATTGCTCTTAAATACTATATATGATATTAAATATATTCATGCTAAGAAGTGTTGTAAGAGGTACACATCAAGAAATACGATGATTCTAAAAGAGAAAACATTATACATATACATATATATGCCTATGCTTGCATTTGTATGTCATATATCACAAAATATATACATTGTGTCATGTATATATCTTTATATATTGATATTTATATATGTTATACAGATATAACTTAGAATATTATATAATGTATATATGTATACATAAAACTGTAGAGGTGACATAAAATACTTACATTGCTGTGGGGTTCATCACACATGTAGTTCCTGAACAGCCACAAGTATGGATTTTATCATATGATAATCCCAGATTAATCCCAATCAATTGTGCCATAACAACTGAAAATGCCTCTAAAGTTAACATCTTTGGATACTAAAAAGAAAAACACTGTTACTATATATCCCCTTGAATGAAAAGCCATAAAACAAAATCCACAACAGGAAGAAAAATAGAAAATTTACAACAACATGAAATTAAGTACCATACTAATGATTCCAAAAGCCTTCTTGAAGTAAACGGTGCTACTGTATGACCTATGAGTCAGTGAAGAAATTAATAGGAAAAAAAATTTTGAAAAAATGAAAAAAACAAAAATAGCAAAATCCATGAAATGTAACAAAAATAGTATTGAAAGGCTATTGATCTTGTGTTTCGCATGAAGATTGCCTTCTATCAGAGAGAACATATGTTATAGTAACTGTGTAGTATAAACTATCATATCCAGATGTGAAGAAGCATCTCTATTTTCAAATCAGAGATGGACTCCCAATGGAACTGTTAAAATGTATCTTTACTATAGGATGCTGGACTCTCTACCATGGACCATACCTACAGCATCAGGATACACTTAACTAGCAGAATGATGGACTTATGACTGTTAATAAAGGACTGTACTATTATATTAATTTAGGGGAAATCAGGTTGAGGGAAGGGGACTTGAGGAAAGCGAGAAGTGAATTCTCAGAGCATGTAGATCTGTATCGTAAAATAGTAAAATAAATAAAATAATTTAAAAAAGAAAAACAGCATCAAGTTTCCACACTATTTTAATATAGTCAATTCAGGCTCTAATACATGCATACAACTGCAGATTTAAGAAACTACTTTATCAAATATATATATATATATATATTTTTTAAGGATCTAAAAGACAAAGTAGGTAGGTAGGTACATTTTATTTTTCTTTTTGAGTTATATTTTTCATCTACATGCAATTGGCATATTGCCTATAGATAATATGCATTTGCTGATAACTCACTGATAATCAAATGTTATCAGTACAATTTTGCATGATAATCAGATTGAATTCCAACAAGTACCATTGATCAATTAGATATTTCCCAACATAACTTTACCAATGTGTTGTTTCCCAAGAGAAGACATTGGAACAGATATGCATATTTTGAAGTGTTTAATTGCAAATCAAGTATGTAGTGTATATCACAGTATGTTAAAGTTGCTACATTTAAAACAATAATAAATATTAAAAATGAAAGTTAAGGAGTTGAAATAATTTTTCTTAAAGCATAATATATAGCACATCGCAAGTTGCCTCTCTCCAAAATTTTTACATATTAATGAGCTTTGTGGTATTTCCGTGTATGCTGATTCTCAATATTGCAAAGTTAAAATAAAACAGTATATGTGCTTTTCATAATGCATTATAAATCCTTATCATATTAGCTTATTCTATGAACAGCATTATTAAATGCTTTATTGTTAATGGCCAAGTTTTCTTATCAATGGTCGATATTCCGTTTTGTGGATATTATGTTTATGGACATATGTTTATGCATTCAGCTATTCAAGGCTGTCTTGCAATCTACAACAATTACACATCAAGCTGCTAAAAGTATGCCTGTGTATTTTTTGCATATGTCAATGTCTTCATTTCATTTGGGTAAATTTCAATTATGACCATTTCAAGATCATCTGATAGTAGTTCATTCAGTAATGCAAAGTGTCTCCTAAAGTGACTGTTCCTTTCTGTGACTTCATAAAGAAAGGTGACTGCGTGCGCCTTTGACTCTACAGTCTTACAACATGTGGAGCTTTAGAGTGGTCCTATACTGAGTGGAAAAGGAGTGAAAGTCTTTGATGTTGACTTGCTCCTTAGCATAGCTCTAGAGTACTCTTTTTTCAAAATAGGTATGGAGTTAAAACTGCTGCTTGTTACAATGCCCTGCTGCAACTTATCTTTGAGTCCTAGTTTGCTGAGGGATTAACTGTGAATTCTCTTCCTTTGGTCAATTTGTTTTTGTCCTGAATCAAACAATAGCATTGTATTGTCTCTCCTTATTGGTCAATTGAATTTGTTTCCATTCATCATTGAATGATTAGGTCAATTACTGTTGTTTAGATGAGTTACTATTAATTCCATAACAAATACTTATGTGAAATAAGATGCACATATGCAATGAAATCTATGCATAGAAATAACCAAGTGAAACAGAAATTGAAAAAAAATCCAGTGTAAATTCTAGAAATACTAAGCCCAAGAAATTAGAGAATTTACTAGATGCAATCAAACTTAACTTGATCAGAATTATTTTAAGTCAGGCCTGGCTCAATGACTTAAGTGCTGAATCACCCTCTAGCACACATCAGAATCCCATAAAGGTGCTGGTAACTGTCCGCTTCCCATCCAGCTCCCTGCTTGTGGCCTGGGAAAGCAGTCGAGAATGGCCCAAAGCCTTGGGACTCTGCACTCATATTGGAGACCCGGAAGAAGCTCCTGGCTCCTGCTTTGAATCAGATAAACCCCAACTTTGTGGCCACTTGGGGACTAAACCCATGGATGGAAGATCTTTATCTGTCCTTCTCTCTTTGTATCTGTCTTTACAAAAAATAATAAATAAATCTTAAAAATTATTTTAATTCATCATGTCAGAGAGAAAAAAAAAAGACATGATGAAGTAAGAGATTACGGTTCTTACAGTCTTACAGCTCATCTTGCAGGGGCTAAATACCTGTGTTTTGGAGTCCAAGAAGGGCACGGATGAGCAGAGGGGATAAGATAGACCTTGTTTAGGGAAACAATGCTGACATTTTGGGGAACAAGTATTAAAATAGTGACTGGGGTCAAGAAGCTTGATGAAATCCAGCTAAGGTGAACCCCTGAAAATCACCAAGAAAGTGTTTTGTAATCAAATTGTTAAAAAACAAAACCACAAGAGAATCTTTGTGACATAAGAGAGCTTCCATGTAACTACTGGATTTCTCAGCTATTTTTAAGCCCCAACATGATTGTAGCAAGGCAGTCAAAATATGGAAAGAAATTCAACCAAGAATGTTGTTTAGGACAAAACGGTCATTAAAAAATGTTGAGGATACTAAGAAAAGCTTAGGGAGTTCGTAACCTCTAAACCCAGTCCACAATAAGTGCTAAAGAAACTCTTCAGGGTGAATAGGATGCACATTAGACACTAACACTGAACTACAAGCAAATTGTGACTTCTCATGTGGGAGCACTGGGGCACACAGCAGATGAGGCTGATGTCTGGACAGCTACATCTCATACTTAAGTGTCTGGGAAGATATTGGCAATGTTCTCTTCTGCTAAATTTGTCTGGTAATGCACCTGACAGGAGAGCCCTTATGGGAGAATCCCGACTCCTGGCTTTGGTGGGACTTACCCCCGGTTGTTGCAAGCATTTGTGAGGGAGCACATGAATGGAAGATATCAAATTATGTAAAAGTGAAAGGGAGGTTATTTCAAGTGAACAGAGAATGAAAGAAAAATGTAGGCATTCTGGCACAAAGTATTCCAATACCAATGGAATCCAATTAGGAATCAACCGGGAAGAAAACCTTGAACACTCAAAAGCGTATAGAATTTTTTTTTGTTAAATCTCTCATGATTTTGTTTTTGTTTCTTTAAAGGAAAATATTCATCTACAGAGAACGGGTGCCAGTGTTTTGGTGTAATACGTAAGTTGTGTCCCTCAAGTCTATCATCTAATGTGAGTGCCGGTTCAATTTCTTAGCTGCTCTGTTTCCAACCTGGTTTCCTACTGCGCCCCTGGGAAAGAAGAGGACAATGGCCCAAGCACTTGGGATCCTGCATCTAGAGTAGAGATCTGCAAGAAGACCCAGGTTCCACCCAGTACACCCAGGGAGTGAACTATCATGTGTAACATCCCTCACTTTACCTCTCTCTCTCTCTCTCTCTAACGCTGTCTTTCATACAAATAAACTAAATCTTTACAAGAAAAAAGAGTGAACAATTTCAGTGAATTAATGAATACAAGATGGAAACTTAAAAACAATCCAGAGAAAAACGAAAATGAAAATAAAATACACAAAATCTGTTGAGACTGAGGAAGAATAAGTTTATACCTGTAAATGCTCACATTGAAAGGGAGGGTGATTTCAAATTAGTATCCTAACTGATCCCTGCTGGAACTAAACAACAGATGAAAAAACTAAACCCACACAATCAGAAGAACATAAATAATGGATAAAACTGTGATAGAGAAGATGATGCAATAAGAAAAATAACAAAAACTTGATTCTTTCAAAAGTTGCTTGACACAAATACATGGATAAAATCTGATAAGCTGATTTAAATATGATTTTAAGGGATTATACCAAGACTACAAGATAGGTACAAAATATGTTACTTTAAAGACATGAAAGGCAAAAAAAAAAAAGATACTCTCAATTGTGGCAGAAGATGAATTTCACAAGATTCAACAGCAAAACCAGTCAGTGACCCAGTAGTAGGAGCAGGCTATTCCAGGAAATACATTCCTGCAGGTATAGATTCAAAAGTTCAAGGACCACATGGAGAGATTTTTAACACCACTCATAACCATAGATACCAAAGTCCGATTATGAGATATCACCTCGCTCTATTACAATGGCTGCCACCAAACAAACAAAGCAGCAATATGTGAAATGGTGGTGACATTGTAAAGCAGTGCAATCACTTTAGAAATCATGCCACCCTACTATGTATTACATCTGCCACGTGCTTGAGCAATCCCGCTTCTGGATACATATCCATAAATAGTTAAACCAATGTCTCAAAGAGTTTCATGCACTCTTCATAGGCATTATATGGGAAATATCTAAATCTGCCAATGTAAGATAAGTGAATAAAAATATGGCACCTGTGGTGGAATGATTTACAGGCGTAAAAAGCAAAGAAATTGTGTCAAGTGCCACAATGTGGATACGCATTGAGTACGTTGTGTAAGGCAGTCACAAGAACACAAATACCGCATGGCACCACTTCCATGCAAATCTAAGTTGTCAAACTGATGAGAACAAACAGTGGAATGGTGGTTACTAGGGGAAAATGGTGCCATTTCCCTAGGATGCTTTCAGTCTCACAGGATGTAAGGTTGTGGAATTCTGTTTTGTTACTATTTGAAGATAGTTACTGCTTTTCTGAACAATCAAAATGCTAAGAGGTGAAGTTTGAGGTTTGTTCTTCACCCACAATAACATACATACCCCTTTCTCTTATTTGATTATCCCAACTAATAAAAACCATCATCGTTTCTATAAAGGGTTGACAAAGCACTGGATAGGTGTGCTTTATATTTGTTTACTGATGTGAATGCTAACTTTCTAAATTTGATATAACTATTAAAGAGATGAGGATAAATGCATACCAGAGCAACTCCTGTGGCAAACTTTGGATCACATGCCATTCCATGATATGTTGTTCCCACAAAAGCAGCATGTTCCCTATAACTAAAAATACAATTTTTTTGTGAAAATTTGCATTTTAATGTATTGGTGATTAACGATGTGTTTAGAAGTTGTGTCATAAAAAAATGTTCATTTTTTAAAGTTCCATAGGCTAGAGGATTTCCCCTCTGCCCTACAGATTAGCACCCCCGCTACTGTTTTACCTATGTTGTTACAATAATACGGTCCTTCAGGAAAAGTCATCAATCCATTGTCCTGTTTAAGTGTATCATGACATTGCAGGTACAGACATGGTAGAAATATCACATCTAACAATTTGTCATTCCCTCCTTGAGTTGTGTGTCACAAGTCACATAAAGAGATGTCTTGAAAGGCTAGTGATCACTCTGTTGCAACACTCCAAACCTGGCAGTGTCTTTTCTGCCTGTTAATTGGTGTATGACCATCACCCTCCCTGATGGAATTATCATCGGAAGAAAAAAATCAATATTGTTCATTGTAATAACATAGACTTAGTGAGCAAGTTGTAACTACATGTTAGCAGTGTTGACTTGGAGGAGAGAGAGAGAGAGAGAGAGAACATGCAACGGATGAAGTAGAGACAGTAGGTAGCAATGGCGCACATTCATCTTAACCCTTCCATGTATTTACTCTAGACTTCAAGAAGCTCCCTTAATTCTACTTCAAACATGAGAAGATTTATGGATTTATTTCATATTGCTTCAGGTTCCTGGCATTGTATTTTGTTTCTTAATATTAAAATTAAGAAAAATTAGAAAGTGCACAGTTCTGTGGAAAGAATCTTCCATGATCCAAATAGATCAATACATCCATCTCCACTCAATATAAATACACCAGTGAGGAACCTAACCAGAATGGTAGTGAAGTGGTCCTTTCCAAATACTTACTACTAAAATGTTTTCTGCTGTAACAAACACTTCAGGCATTCACTGTGTTCTGTGTAGTAATTTACAGTTTTATCAAATGCTAAAATGATGATTCGATCATTTCCTTTTAAGGTGATCAACCCCTGATTTTCCTGAGGCTTTCTATTTTTTCTGCCCACTTCCCTTCAACAGAAAGTCTACTCTGAGAATGAAAGCTTAATATGATTTCAATGTCAGCTTATGTGGCTATCAGCTTTTATATAATTTCTCATTTTGCTTAATTTCCTTTCTAAAAATCTCATTATCAATAACAACTCAGGAAATAATTTCAGTAGAAATATTGGGGCCCGGCGGGTGTGGCCTAGCAGCTAAAGTCCTCGCCTTGAACACACCGGGATCCCATGTGGTTGCCGGTTCTAATCCTGGCAGGCTCCACTTCCCATCCAGCTCTCTGCTTGTGGCCTGGGAAAGCAGTGGAGGACAGCCCAAAGCTTTGGGACCCTGCACCCGCGTGGGAGACCCAGAGGAGGTTCCTGGATCCTGGCTTCGGACGGGGATAGCATCGGCCATTGCAGTCACTTGGGGAGTGAATCATTGGACAGAAGATCTTCCTCTCTGTCTCTCCTCCTCTCTGTATATCTGACTTTGCAATAAATAAATAAATTTTGAAAAAAAAAAAGAAAGAAATATTTTGGGAAAGTCCCAGCCAATATAGCAAGTGCTTACATTAATAAGTAAGACATCTCATGGGGTTTTTGTTTCCATGACAGAAATCTCTGTAGTATTTCCTCAGCATCCCCATTTGTTGAAATCTTATTTCCATCTGACCAGAGCTCCAGAGAGGACAGCATAATGGTGATGTTGACCTTGGAAAACATCTGAAAACAGGAGATAAATAATATAGGCTTGGTTCACTACAAGAAAGAATGTTACATCCCTGTAACCAGATGTGATGTATGCCTTTAATTAGTGTGTACTGGTGGTAGAATCCACTGGTAAATGGAACTAGCTCATAGGATTTTACTTTCTATGAGATGGAAATGCAATTTATACAAGCAATATGACTGGTAACAAAATATGTCTTATACAAACATAAAACATAGATACTTACAGCATTAATAAGACCAAACATGTAGATAATTTTTTCAGCTGAAAGTACCACTTCAGAGCCCATAAAGTCACACTAAAAGACAAACATTTATTTAAGAGGTTTTTAAGTATAAAAGTGCCAAAAATATATTGCTTAAATGAGAGACAAAAATATAAGATTTTTGAAATAACTATGTCATTTTAAGCATAATCCTAAAAGTTACTGCTGTAACTTATGAAATTTAGATCTTTATTACCTAAACATTATATGGCCTGATACCTTTATACATGCTTCTATAGTTATACTATTTACATTGATACATAATTATGGGCATAAAGCATGTTACTGAAATTCGCCATATTATATTCTTCTTTACAGATACAGAAAATAAGATTTAAAGTTTGAGGATTCAAAGAAGGCATAACCAAAGCTCAAACCTTTCTAACTAAACTTCTAAGTCTATTTTGTCTGCTATAATTTACTGTCATAATAGAATGCAATGCATGGATCTCCTATTTGATAGCCATAATAGACATGTAGTGCTCTTAACTCTTTGAGCTCAGGGTTTATAGAGTGGACCATAAAACACATTGTTTATTGGAACAATGTACTATATGCAAACATTCAGATCTCAACTAACAACACCTTCTGGTGTGGATGTGGGGAAAAAAGGCACCCTCCTTCACTGCTGGTGGGAGTGTAGGCTAGTACAACCACTGTGGAAATCAGTACGTAGAGTGCTTGGAGAATTGCAAATGAACCTGCCATATGACCCAGATATCCCGCTCCTAGGAATATACCCAACAGAAGTGAAATCTGTATGTGACAAGAGGATCTATAATCTTATATTTGCAGCAGCACAGTCTACATTAGCAAAGACATGGAAACAATCCAGATGTGTGTCCAAGGAAGAGTGGTCAAAGAAACTGTGGTATATCTACTCCATAGAATATCATTCAGCTATTAAGAAGAATGAAATTATTCTATTTACAACCAGGTGGTCCCACCTACGAGACCATTATGCTCAGTGAAATGAGTCAATCACAAAAGAACAAACACCATATAATCTCTGTTATATAAGGAAGCCAGCATGGAAAGTGTAACTCCAATAGTCCAATCCATATTGTTTTTTTGATTGTTTGCTTGCTGTTTTGGCTGTATCCCATGTGTTTTGATGTTTTGTATTTCAGCTTGGTTCATTCCAAATCATCTGTTTTCTCTAGTCGAATTCATCACAGGAATCATGAATTATACAATGGCATCATTTTTCCCAAGGGCGGAAAAAAAACCTATGGTTTGGGATTGTGTGTGTAAACTTTTGTTAAAAACAGTTGAAAGTAAAAAATATGCTATCTGTTAACGGGAAAATTTAAAAGGAATATATTGTGTGATGCTTTATATATTAATGAATACAGTTAATGCAATTATGAAAATAAAATTTAAATAAAACAATAATTATCATAAAAATGATTCAAACAGAGGCTAAAATTAATCCACTAGTCCAATGGTAGCAAACAAGTGACAATTGAGCCTTAACAATTTTAACAGAAGAGTAGTACTTGAACCCACACATGTACATTTCAGTAATGCTTTTTAGGTTCCATTTGAGGATTGGTTGATTTGACAGCCAGAGGATGAGGGAGAGAAAGAGAAAGAGGTATTTCACTTGATGGTTTATTACTCAGGCTGCTTCCACTTAAAGCTAAGATGTTGGAACTATAAACTCCATTCTGGTTTCTGACTAGGGGGTAGAGCCCAGGCATCAGGTCATAAACTGCACCCTCGCTGGGATACTAAGAAGGCTTGCAAGGGGCTGTATCACAAGTGGAGCATCGGGGCTCCAACCTGAGCTCCAGTGTATTGTGCTGAGACTGTCATGCTGGGCCTCAATGCCAACCCTGTTCTGCAGAAAGCAACAACCTTATTATCAATGACTCTTCCCACTTGCAAAACACAGACCTCAACCTGAGAAGTGGAGAAATTATACAACGTTAAATAATTATAAAGACTAATATTTAGGAAAATGTGGGCCTTTTTTCTCTTCAGTAACTAATGAAAAAGGTTACTTTAGAATGGACATACATCCAAGGAACAGATTCTTGGAGAACTGTCGAAGGCACAGAAGTGTCTTCAGATAGTTACTGTTGATTAAGGTTTAATGTAGTAGAACCCTACCACATACGATTCTAGGATTCAATATGGGATTAGAAATCAATACCTGAATATTGACAACCCATCTCTGTGTAAAGGCAAAAGGTATTTCCTTAACTTATGGTGTACTAAAGTAACATATCTTTTAATATTAGGAACAATAGAAGTTTAATGCTCATATTCCCCATAACTTAAGTTTAATATGAATACAGAATAAAATATATCAGTAATGCATACCATGGATTTATCCATAACAATGTGCGTTCTCAAAGTCCTTTTTGGAAATGCAACATCTAAATCTTTCTGCGAAACACAGGACATAATTAACGTTTTCAAAATTCTTGCATTGTCATTATTATATGTACCAAACATAGACATGCACAGGAGACAGAGGCAGAGAGGGGACAGACTCACTCACCCACACAGAACAGGATACAGACAGATGGATGCATATAATAGATGGATAGCCACAATGGAAAAATAAGAGAATTGATGCACACGCTGTAAATAAGTGGGTAAGAGTTTTGTAACTTGTTAAGCGTTTGTAACTTGTCAGAAGTATTTTAATTTCTATTCCTGGAAATAAGAATCTTCAAAGTGTCCAGAAATAAAGGAAAGACCATATTTTTTTTTATCTTAAAGCATTTTTGTGTTGCTAATGGGACATCCACAGCCTGCCATCCTTCAACATGTTTCTGTCAACATTCTCTCATCATTGTGTATATTGGGGGGTGTTGTGCAGGGAGTAGAAGGACAGAGAGGGAGAAAGTGAAAATGGCTCACTCCTTAAACATCTCCAAATGCTAAGGTTGGGAAAAGCAAAACTCAAAGAAGGTTCAACATCTGAAGAGCCCAAGTGGGTAGAAGGACCTTAAACCATCCATCTTCAGTTGTCTTCTTGAATATTTTAGCACAAATGTGAATCAAGATCTGAGCAGCCAGGATTGAAACTGGAACTCTGATATGTTGAAATACCAGCCTGGAGTAAGGGGCTCCATGTTGAGATGGGCTACATTTGTGGGGACCCATGAGACTGTAGCCAAGCAGAGAGAGCCACATTCTGCTCAAATCCCTGGCTAGGCTATTCAAGCATGACTAGGAGAAAAATGAGCTTGAACTGGTGTAATTTTCTTTTTATGCCTGAAGTAGGCTCATATTAGCTAATAATATCTGATGCCCCGGAACCTCTCCTGGTTTGCAATTTTGCTTTCATGAACTCTGCTGTTCGGCAGTGCAGCATCGAGAAAGCTTCGGGGCATGAGTCCACTCTTCACTGTCAGCAGTCAAGGATCGCATCAGCCTGTGGTGCTCCTCTTCTGCACGGGATTGCTTGGGGACACAAGGCCAGTGTCACAAGCAGTAGTGTATTCTTCTGTATGAGGATGTCCATTTCCTTCCTCATGGTTTTTATATTTTAACATTTATGTTAGATTTGTGAGGTTTGTGTTAAACAAGACATACCAGTTTGAAGTATATGATGTGTGGCACAGTACGTACGTGAATGAATCCACTGTCACTAATACAATATTTCCATCACTTTCTCCCCTGTGGGTAGTCCACATGGCACAAAACTACTGATAATCTTCAGCCTTCCACCACAGGTTAAAATAATTTGATCTAGAACTTCAGCTCAGTGGAAACATATTAAGTGATCTCTTTTATCCAGCTACTTCCATTCAGCCTTCCATCAAATTGTTGAATTTATTAGTACTCTAATAGAGACACATTTCAACTTTATTATACACTAACTTATCAGTGGCCATTTGGAGTATTTAGATGTTTTAACAATTATTAGTACTGTTTCGCTGCATATTAATTTTAAACTCTGTGTAGTTTCATCAATATACACGGTTCCTTTCTTCTTGGCAAAAATTTATGGTATTTACTGAATCGGCAGCCTTGAATGGTGGCAGGTGGTTCACACCCTGATCTCCCCGCTCTGCTTGACTGCTCTGTGGGTCTATGGCGACACTGTGCTGCCATTTGACAGTTCAGCAGATTATGCTTCTATCTCTTCTCTTGTTTGAAGGCATGAATGCCATCAGGAAGACTGCCTCCTTCAACAGCTGTGTCACTATTTTACATCCCAAAGTTTAACTTCCAAATACATTCCCTGGGAGGGGCAGTGCCACTGCCAGGGCTTCAACATGTAACTGATGGAGCACCAAAACTGCAGTTCACAGCAGGCACAAAATCTTCAGAAACATTCCTTCAGCTATGGAAGCTGTCACACATGCTTTAAATCTGACCACGGGAGTTTTCTATTCTTGTTTTCTCTTATGAAAGTGTAAACTGTTGGACAGTGATGTTGCCTTTTCTGAAAATATTGTTATGCTCTGTAAAGATCTGTGAATAGCATATTTGAACTTCATATTTAATTTAGGATTTTAAGTAACATTGACACAAAGTTTTGTAACTTTACACAGATTAAAAAATCAAGATTGTCATTTTATTTTAAAGGGAACTTGATTAGATAAAAATTCTTGCAATATTTCATGTTTCACCGTGAAGAAATAGGAAATATTTAACTGTTTTGGAAGGGTTTCAGTCATTATGGCTGGTTTCTCTACCCTTTGAAGAAACAATATTTGAGTGTGCTATTTTTTTAATTTTGTATTGTCGATTTTAAAAGTTGCCTGGAAATTTTCAGCTTCATCATTTGCTCATCAAAGTTGTTTTGTTTTCTGCTGTTTTTCTAAATTATAGTGCATTTGATGATTTCCTTCTTGATTACAAATCTTAACATCTTAAATTTTCTACTACCAGCTTTCATAGCCATTGAGACCATACCTATTCTGAAAAACAAAATGCATAGATGTGTAGGTGAGGGGACTTCAAAACATCCATGCAAAAACAAATTTAAGAGGTAAGAATATTTCTCATTTTTATATGATTTATTTATTTTATTGGAAAGACAGATTTCCAGAGAGAAGAGACAGAGGGAAAGATTTTCCATCTTCTGGTTCGCTATTCCAAAAGCCACAAATGCCGGAGCTGAGCAACTCTGAAGCCAAGAACCAGGAGCATCTTCTGCGCCTCCTACACAGGTGCAGGTTTCCAAGGCTTCGGGTCATTCTCTGGTGTTTCCCAGGCCATAAGCAGGAAGCTGAATGGGAAGTGGAGCAGCCAGGACATGATCTGGTGTCTGTATGGGATCCCGGTGTGTAAAAGGCAGCAAGGGCTTAGCTACTGAGTCTTTGTGCTGGGCTCAGCAAAGTGAATTCTTTTCCTCAAAATACTCACAGAACTTTTATCTTCATTATAAAAACTGTATATGCATGGATTCCAATTTTTGTTCCAGAAAAAACTAATAATACTTGCCATACTAGTTGAAAAGTATCTAGTTTGAGACACAAAGTAGGTAAAACATAAGACCAAACATCGCCTACATGATCTGTGAAGATCACAGCAAGAAAATACACAGAATTGAAGATGAAGATGAACTGTAGCAATATTAAGATGATGGACACAGTCCAAAATGTCTGTAATAATACTAACATGACAAACCAGGTTTGGAAGGAATAGAATATTGAATATAAACCTATAGTGGCAAGCCACTCACACCACTGATTAGGATCATAGTAGAAACATTATACATCATGACTGCAATTGGTTTAGTTTCCAGAATTATGGCTAAAAAGCAAAAAGTGGTGCAAACTTTGGCTTGCTGAGTACCAGAATGCTTGCACCTAGATCAGCTACAGACAGGGATTTCAATTGACTAATCAAGTGAGATCAAGTTCCTGAGCAGGTTCTACTAAGAACATAACGTGGGAGGAACATGGATACGCAACGTGGTTTTGAGAAGAAGTACAATCTAAGCAATAACTATCTTGAAGTGGAGTAGTCCTTGCAACCAAAAGCAAATGGGTCAAAAGCAATGGTTGTGGCGGTATATTTCGAATGCATTGAATGCTTATGGAACATTGCTGACTTTTGGCAGGTCAAGGAATTATAACATTTGCTTATCAGGGTAGGGCTTTAAGAAAGTTAGCCACAGGTATAACACTGTGGCTCAACAGGCTAATCTTTCACCTGTAAGCACCAGGATCCCATGTGGGTGCCTCTTCTAGTTCCAGATGCTTCACGTTCTAGCCAGCTCCCTGTGGATGCCTGGGAAAGCAGTGGAGGATGGCTCAAGCCCTTGGGCCCCTGCACACACCTAGGAGACTGGGCAGAGGCAGTCTGGTTGCTGGTTTTCGACTGGTTTCACCCTAGATTGTGTCCATTTGGAGAGTTAATTAGCAGATGGAAGATCTCTCTCCTCTCTCCTTCTCTCTGATTACATTGTTATGGCTAAAATTCCAGGACTCTCAATTCTCTATTGATGTAAAATTAGCTAAGTGAACTTAGAAAAGTTTCTGCTGGAGATTACATGAAGAAATGAAGCTTACAATTTTTTATTTTTATTATTTAATTCCATTTCAATAAACTTTTAGAAGTGCATTTGTTTACATAAGAAATTGTGTGCTAATATAGACCTGACAAGATAGCAAAGTGTTCCACGAGAGGGTTTAGACTGTAATAATTGGTTTTACAGTCTATTCTGTTTTCTTGCCTTTTATACACATACGGTTCGTATTTAATGTATGTGAATTCAATACTTGTAAAATGTGATCCAATCCACATATATGCAGATAGAGCATTTTTATTAAAATTTCATGCATTAGATCTCTGTATAATCAGATATATAAAAACATTAGAAAAAATAATCTCAAATTCTATAAGCATTACATTGACAAAATTTAGGAAATTTCCTAGGTTGTTCCTTTCTGTTTTTAAGCTTTACATCAAAATGATGTTATTTCCCCAAAAGAATAAATATTGGTTAAAGTGGCTTAGAAATGTATGGCTGTGAAATCTGTAAATCATCAATTTAATAATATGTAAATTCAGAAAGAAAACTGCATAAAAAATCTTTTCATTGAGGAAAACATACTGGGAGATCATTGATGATTTACAAATCACATGTCTTTATAAGGCTACATTTTATTTATTTATTTTTTAATGTAGAAAGGTAGAGTAAGAGAGAGATGAGAGAGGGAAATATAACGAGACAGATAGAAAGAGATCATCCATCTGCTGATTCCTACCCCAAATGGCCTCAGAATCAAGGCTGCGCCACCTGGTGCAGTTTCACAAATTGCTTCCAGGTCTTCTACTTGAGCGCAGGATGCAAAACACTTGGGCCATCAGCAGGCCACTGGATAGAAAGTAAAGTTGGACTTGAATCCAGGCATTAGCACATGGGAAGCAGGTACCCTAAGTGAGAAGGTTACCTGAATACATCACAACGGGTTCCCCTGTCTCCAGTAGATGTTGCATTGTTCTAGCTGCTATCTGAATAAGCATCAAAAAAGTTAAAACAAATGCTTTCTCTTTAAGAAACAGTAGTGGAATCAACATCAACTAAATGTCCTTCACAGGTTTCAATGTGACTATTTTCATCAAGATTAAAGTAAAAAGGATTTACTTACATGTGACTTGACTATAATGCTGTAAAAATGCAGTGCATTCTTGCCTAAGGAGTAAATTTCTTGTAGGGAGGAATAACCAGCTTCATTCATCCTTATTTGATGAATCATGTGCTCATTTGTTATCAAAGATTCCAATGGTTCTATTCCATAGGTGACATTATCCAACTGCAATAATCCTCTAAATATGCAAACACAAAAGAACTGGAATTGCAACTAAAACACATTTCTCGTGAACATAATTAACTTGCAAACTAAATTTCAGGTCTTTTATGGAACATCGCCACAGTTTGTATTTTAGTGTTGTTTGGAGATGCATACATTCTTCATAAATGACTTCATATACCACTGCATAAATATTAAGATGGAAACTCTGACTTAACTTACGGAGAAAACAGGAGGAAAGAGGAGTTTGAAACAATATAGGAAAAACAAAAACCAATCTGAATCTATGTCTCTTTGCTTCTCTCACCGTACACATCTTGCTAACATGCAATTACCTGAGGCCAAAGCAGGTGTTGACAATCACAGCTGATTTTGGAATCTCAGCAGCATGTCCCTGGTAAAAGCAATGCGTCTAAAAGGATAACAGATGCATATTCATAAATCAGTAGGTAAATGTGTCCTCATTTTCATCCTTTCTTCAAAGATAGTATCAAACAGTCAAACTTTGCTATTACAAAACCGTTCATCAGAGTTTCATATTCATTACTGCTTGTCTTCACCCTCTTGCTCTTAGCCTCATGTGTCTGTAGTAATCTTAGCTACTGTCTTCACACAAATAGCCCATCTGTGATTTTATTGTTACACACAGGTTTTATTGACCTCTATGCTTCTCCAGCTGTCTTAAGGTATAGTGCATACATGGCACGCATATATAATGAAAGGCATTCAGCTGACTTAAAAAATCTACACCTATATTGGGCCGGCAAACATTATTTTCAGCAGAATTGCTAGCAAGCCAAAAAAAGAAACACCCCCCCCCCTTAAAAAAAAACAGAAGAAGAAAAAGGAGCACAGCCCACATTGTTACGGGAAAGCACGGCAATATACAGCATGGGACTAAACTCAATGCTGGGTGCCTGCTTGCAAAACAGGTTATTATTGTTATTGTTATTATTATCATTATTTCCCTCAGGTATCAGCCTCACTAAATTTCAAAGCACAAACATTCATTGGATGGAAGACAAACATTTTTACAAAAGGAGAGAAGAAAATTCACGGATAATCCATGTCAAGATGGCTGAAACCATTAAACAAAGATTTTCTAAAAATATTTATTTCGTATATTTTAAAGGCAAATTTATACAAAGTAGGAGAGAAAGAGAGAATCTTCCACTCTCTGGCATACCCTCCACATGGTCGCAAAGGCCCAAGTTGGGTGGGTCTGAAGATGGGAGTCAGAAGGGTTTTCGGGGTCGCCTACATGTGAAAGGGTCCAAGAACCTAAGACATGCTTTAGAGAAAAAAACGTCACACAAAATATGTGAGTTCCCGTGCCCTGTGAAAAGCGAAAAAAAAAAAAAAAAACTAAACTCATTGCTCATTTCGCCAAGACCTTCCACCAGAGGATTACAAAGATACTTTCTAGAGCCTGGCTTTGCTAGCAAGGTGGGAGTCCAACATTGCAGAACTTTTTACAATGATTTATTTATTTTTATTGGAAAGTCAGATATACAGAGAAGAGGAGAGACAGAGAGGAAGATCTTACATTTGATGATTCACTCGCCAAGCGGCCTTAATGACTAGAGCTGACCAATCTGAAGCCAGGAGCCAGGAGTCTCTTTAGGGTCTCCCACGCAGGTACAGGGTCCTAAGGCCTTGGGCCATTCTCAACTGTTTTCCCAGGCCACAAGCAGGGAGCTGGATGGGAAGCAGGGGCACCGGGATTGGAACCCTAGCCCATATGGGATCCCATTGCATACAAGTGAGAACTTTAACCGTGTTGGGCTCCTACGGTTACAACACTTTTATATGGACTAACCAAAGTGTTTGTGTTTTTCTTACCCATTGTGAATAGCATTGGGCACCATCTAACCACACGTGGGCTAGAACCAAAGTGGTTCTTGAACTTGTACGTAGCATGGATCTTCCTCACTGTTTCTCAAAGAGAAGAGTGACAAGTATCCCCACTGCTCATTGCTCCCTTCTTCCCAGTGAGTGAGACAGTTCACAGGGACAGTCAGAAAGCCTGGTGCAGATAAGAGGAGAAACTTTTCCTGAGGGTAGACTATCATTCAGGAGTACAGAAGGGGCTTGATCTCAGGCACAGGTGTCAGCACAGAGAGACAAGGGAAATAAAGACATAGGCAAGCAATCCCAAAGAACATGATAAACTCAAATGATTGTTTCTAAAGTAATGGAGTTACATAATGTAGCTGAAATAGCAATATGATCTCAGGAAGCTGTTCAATAAGATCATGAGAAAAATGCATGAACAAAAGGAGAATATCAGTACAGAAAGGAAATAATACGACGAGGTAACACAATAGCCAACTAGAAGATTCGCAGAGGATGGGGTTCAATGACAGACATGAAGATGATTTAGTAGCGGGATGAATGTTGTGGCTTAGCCAGTAGAACAAGACACCTGTAGTGGTGATTTCCTTCTGGGATACCAGAAGGCACCTGACTGCTGGTTTCAGATAGTTCACACCTTTACAGCCATTGCAGGAATGAAAAACAGTGGGAAAAAAAATCTCCCTCAACATCTTTCTCTGTCTCTTCCTTTTTCTCTAATCTCCACTTCTCAAATAAACAAATAAATCTTGAAAGAAAAAAAAATAATACAACACAAAGACAGAAAGCTGGTAGTTATTTGTAAAGAGAATCCAAAGGCAAAAAGAATGAATATTAAACCAGTAAAAATGTTTGAACCAACAGAGATGGTAAGGATTTCAGAAGATGGAAAGTCCAAGAATAGAACATGATATTCCAGTAGATAATGGTACCTGTGGAATTCGAGTAGTTAACAACTAGGATGTTTAGGAATCACTTTAAACATTAGTAACTGATTGATTGTGAGAACCTTCAAAATCCTCTCTTGAAGCTACTTTTATATTTGCAATAGAATTTTTAGCCACAATCCAGCTTTTATGTGATAATAGAAGCATTACATGGTAACATGTAAAATGAGTTAATAGAAGTTGAAATAATGAATAGGTACTCAGTATACATTTGTCAAGTGAGGAAGACCACTTAAATTCCGATTAAAATGCCTCAGAGTCCAAATACATCGCACACAATGATACACTTCAGGAAAAGTGTAAGATCAAAATCAGAGACAATATGGAAAGCACCAAGCCGACAATGACTTGTCATTCACAGGAAAACTCTGAAAGACTGCTGACAGCTATTGTTTTGCTTTCCTCCCTTTCAGTATAAAACATTACAAGACAGAAAGGCATGGAGTAATTTATTCACAGTTCTAACAAGAAAACAAGCAAAATAAGTGCTATTTATTTATTTATTTATTGTTTTATATTGTATTGCTATTATTTTCCATCATACAATTTTATAAGTATAGGGATTCCCACTTCCTCTTTCCCCCTTGAATTTCTCCCATATTATTACAGTAATATAGTCCTTTAGTAATATTGCAAGTTTAACACTCTTCTATTTAAGTATATCATAACATTGCATGTATAGGCAAGGTTAAAAAACAAACAAAAAAACCCCCAGCAGATTCTCAAGACAGGCTTCACTGGACATCCACTTTTCATTCAGGAGTATAGACGCATGCCATAATGTATCTTCACTTCCCGTTATAGACTGTGTCAGATAGTTTGTAAAAAATAACAGCCTGACTGGATAAGGAGCAGCACAGACTGCGTGTGAAATCTGGAGTTTGCTTACTGCTGGTGTCAGAGACCAGGGTCAAACTGCAGGCAGTGGTCTGGGAGTGAGCACAAGTCTGAGGCCAAGACTGAGGCCCGTGGGCAAGGATGAGCATTTGGGCAATAGGTCAAGGCCACGTGGCTGTGTGTTTTAGGATATCCTTGAGACAGTCACATACTGACTTGGTACTTGGGTCACGCTGTTGCTTCTTGATCATCGAACATCAGTTAACATCAATATTTATTTTGTGTTTGTCTCTTCTTATTTTTTCAATTGCAGGTCATTCCCCCTCCAACCCTGTTTATGACACATTGGTCAGGATAACTGTTCTACATCATAAATTTCTGAGAGAATATTTGTGTAAATTTGTTCACCTACATATCTATCCTCATTGTTTTTTTGGAGGAAGTTTACATTATGTCGGACAGAATGTAATATTTATTTTTGGACTGGCCTATTTCACTGAGTACGATGATCTACAGTTGGGATCACTTTGTTGCAAACGGTAGAATTTGATTATTTTAATGGCTGGGTAATATTACATAGAGTAGCTGTACCGCAGTTTCTTTATCCATTCCTCTTTCAATGGACATCTGTTTTTTTTCATGTCTCTATTGTCAGTTTTGCTGCTGAAAGTACAGAGAAGCAGATCACTTTCTCAGGTGCAGATTTCACTTTCTTTGGCTCTAGTTTGAGGAATGAGATAGTTGAGTCATGTGGTAGATCAATTTCTAGTTCTCTCATTGATGCTCCATACTGACTTCTGCAGTGGTTGCACTTGTCTGCAACACCCACCAAAAATGGAGTAAGGTACTGTTTTTCCCACACCTTCATCAGCAGGTGTTGGTAATAGCAGGTATGTAGGCCTACTCCACGGAATTTGGTAGAACCTCAATGTGGTTTTATTTGCATTTCCCTAGTAGCTCAGGAGCCTGAACATTTTTCCTTATGTATATTAACTATTCAGATTTGACCTTTTGAAAAAGGTCTGCTAATTTTCTTAACCCATTTGATAAGAAAGCAGTCTTGCTACTGTGGCGTTTCTGAAGTTCTTTGTAAATCCTTAGTCCCCTGTCTATTATGTAATTACCTATTCAATCTCCATCCTGGTGTAGATCTTAGGTTTTTCATTACACCACGATTCACTTCTGGTAAATTATGTTTACCCAGAAATGTACCCATTTTGCCTAGATCTTCTGATGAGTTGTCATATTGTTGCTTGTAACAGTTCTTGGTAATCTTTTGTGTGTCCAAGGTATCGGTTGTTATATTTCCTTTTTAATATCTGAGTCAATTGATATTTTTCTTCTCCCTCGTTTTGGATGGGTTGGGCTAATAGAGCATTTATTTTGCTTATTTTTCTTGAAGAACTGGCTCCTTGATTCATTGATCATATATATTGTTGCTTTGGTTTTTGTTTATTTCTTTCATTGTTTTGATTCTTTTTTCTTCTGCTAATTTTGGCTTTATTTTCCTTCTAGTCTATCTACTTCAGATGTATGGTTGGTTCATTTGCCTGGCACATTTTTAGTTTCTCAACGTAGGCACTGATTTTAATAAGATGTTCTTGTTAGCACTGCTTTGACTGTGTCACACAAGTTTCTTTGTTTATGCATTACTTTATCTCAAGGAATTTTTAAATGTTCCCTTTGATTTCTAGTAAAACTCAATTTTAAATTCTTTTCTTCTTCTGCTTAGGTGAGCTCTGCTGTTTTCTTGCTAAGTTTCAGTCCCATCAATCTGTCCATTGAAGTTATTAGGGTTTAAGCGCCACTCTTATTATTACATTAGGGCCTGTATCATTTAAATCTGTTAATATCTGATCCACATAGGTATCTATGTAAATGTACCCTAGCATTTGATGCTCGTACATTTATGATTGTGATTTCTTCTTGTTGAATGAATCCTGTAATCATTATGTGATGTTCTGCTTTGTCTCTTTCAAAATTTTTAAGTGTCAGAGGGCAAAACCAATGAGTCTATGGCTTGATTTAGTTCCTGCAACACCAATGGTTTCCCCTCCCTATTTGTCTGTCAAATGTCTCTGACTTTGGGATATCTATTTCCTGAAGTGCTGCTCCACTGTCTCTGATGCTTCCCCATGTCCACGGGTTCTAGCGAGTCTCTGCCATTGACCTACTCACTACTACTACCTGGGATTGCGTCTTCTCTGATTTTCCTTCACTGTCACTTCTCTGTCCACTGTATTGTGTCCTCACCATATTCTGCCATTTTCTTGCCATTCCACAAAATATAACATTCTACCAGACAGGAGCACTCTACAAAGAAGAATGTCCTTCAAGAGTGGAGAACAGGAGTGACCCTTTGGCCTAGCAGTTGAGATACCAGTTACCATACCCATGTCACACATCCTGCCTCTGATCCTCATGTCTTTTATTTGCTCATGTAGACCATGGCAGACAGTAAAACGGCTCATGTGGTTGAAGCCCTGACATCTGCAAGGGAGACCTAGACAGAGTTCTAGTCTGCAAAACCATGAGACAACCCTGCTCCTATTCCACCAAACATAAGCCTACTGGGGAATAAACAGGAGATATCTTTTCCTACTGTCTCTCTCTCTCCCTGTGCCTTTCTTAAATCATTAAAATAAAAATTTTTAGTTGAAGGATGAAAGTCTATTTAAGTAGAAAAACAGGGAAAGGAAATTAATCATCCTAAGTCTTCCTCAGTAGCAATGCTAAAGGATACTTTCCAAGTTCCTATGTAAAGAAACTATACAGGAATATAATAGCACAAAGGTATGAAACTCATTAGAAAATGCAAATACAAATACATGAGAAAAGTACACAATTACAGTAGTTGGGGTGGATAAATTGCTTTTAATTTGCAATATCTTTTAAGCCAATGTGACTCGAAGGTGTTATGAGGGAATAAACACAAAACTGATGCAAAGTGTGATGCCATGAAACAAACCATGAGTGAGATAAATTATGATAATGGTTTTCTTTGAAATGTGATGGGATTATATTATCGACTTAAAGTAGATTTTTGTAACTATTTTATGTAATCACCTGAGAGTAGACATATCATACCCACATCTTACTCTCTCCCCAACTCTCTCCCACTATTTCACGATTTCTCTTTTCTACTCACAGTCACTCTTGCTCTGTTTCTATCTATACCTTTCTGTATCACTAAAGAAAGGAAAGTCTAGCACATCAATGAAGGTAATCAGCAAACCACACAGAAGCACAGCTAAGAAAAATAAAGATAACCAGCAGAATGAAAGCCAAAGCACAAAATGCCAAAGGGATTCGTAAAGCAAACAAACAAGCGAGCAAACATGATTTCCTATCAATTATTGTTCTAAATTTAAGTGAATTCAACTTCCCAATCAAAAGGTAAAACTGAGTGTACAGATAAGAAAGCAAAACTAAACTAACACATATGTAAGAAACTCATTTAAGATCTAAGGTCACATAGGATAAAGTTGAAGGTATTCAAAGATATTCCATCCAAGTTGTAGCCAGAAGGATGAGGATGCTTCTAAATTTACAAATCATAAAATAGGCCTTAGGAATGTACAAGGAAGCAAGCTATGACAAGGAACCAAGGGTGCTCCATGGATCAAACTACCAACACAAAAAGAATCAGCAGTAACAAACACCTGTGCACTTACAATCATAAACCTATGAAACAAAAGCAGGAGAAAGCCCAGCATAATGGCTAACCCTCTCTTTTCAAACACCAGGATCCCATAGGGGTACCAGTTGATATCCCAGCTGCCCCACTTCCCCATCAGCTCTCTGCTTATGGTCTGGGAAGCCCAGAGACCTTGTATCCGTGTAGGAGTCCTGCAAGAATTATCTGGCTCCTGGCTTCAGATCAGCTCAGCTCCAGATTTTGGGGTTATTTGGATAGTGAACCAGCAGATAGAAGATTTTCTCTCTGTCTCTCCTTCTCTCTGTAAACCTGCCTTTCTAATGAGAATTAATAGATTTTATTTAATAAATTAACACAGGAGAAGAAACATCAAGACAACAGCCACAGGAAACTTCAATGAAAATAACGAAGCAGATTTCAAAAAGGAAACAAAGCAAATGAGTAAAAGCATACTCAAGTAGGTTCAAGAGAAGCAGAGAACATTGCAACCAAAAGCATGAGGTTACACATTCTTCTCCAGAGCTCCAACACTGGGTAACAAACCAACAATGCTTAAATCATGCCAAAAATATCTTCTGAGCACAAGGGGATTGGACTAGAAATTCTTTACAGAAGGAAAAGTAGACAACCACAGAGGAATTAAACTATGTAGATGAAAATAAGCATGAAAGCAACAGAACTAGAAAAGATATAAACTAATAATTAATAATACAAAAGACAAATCTGGTAGGCGCTATGAAGAAATCAATCCAACTAAGATTTAATTTTCTGAAATGAAAATAAAACTAATAAATTCTTCCCTGTCCTAAGGAAAAAAAAAGAAAAGATATTCAAGTAAACAATCTTAGAAATGAAGACAGAGGCATTATAACTGCCCCACAGAGAAAATAATTCCAGTGAAAATGCTGAGGACAATTATGTGCTAATAAACTAGATAGTTGAAGATAAATAAATTACTAGACACACACACAATGGTCCAATATTGAATGCCAAAGCATCAAAATTCTTGTGAGCAGTGAAAACAATTTAGACAGCGTAACAGTGACATAAACTTTCCAATTAAAATCCCAGAAAAAGGAAACTCTACTTGTTCATTCTGTGAAACACTTAGAAAATACCTGTGAAGAATCCTCAAACAGTCTGAAAACCTAACACAGAAGGAGTGTGTTATGAGCACTAAGCTCACTTTATGAGGCCGTCACTGTAATTGCATGGAAGCCAGGAACATCCAACACAAGATGAGAAATACATAGGTCGATACCGATGATCCACACGGAATGCAAAGATTGATTAATAACCTTTTGGCAGAGTGAGCCCATCAGCCATTTGGAAGGGTTATACACTGTAAGTACATGACATTTGTGCTTAGAATGCAAAGATTACTGAAAACAAGGAAACCAACGACGATCACCTACCACATCACAGAATAAACGATCACGTTTACATGGAAATCTCAGTAGCTGTACATAAAACATTTCACTGTAAAATGGTTCAACAGGATAAAACCACTTCCTGACAATAACGATCCCATGTGAAATATCAAACTCGGTGTCTCCTCCCTCCACAGTCAGGAGTAAAGCAGCAGTGAGTTCCCTGACTAGCTCGGTTACCACAGTAGGGAAGCTCTTACCGACAGCAACCAGGCAAGAGGTGTAGTCAGTATGGTCAGTGGAGTTACTGGAATATTCTATAACCATGGGATAATGAACTCCTATGACTTGTCTCAAAATGGGCTTTGTATCTCATGAGGATGACGTACGAAATAAGCCAGACCCTAAATGATAAAGATTGCATGTTCTTTCTAATACATGGGAGCTAAAAAGAGTAAATCTCCATCTAAGTGCACAGAAGTGACTGTTAGAGGCTAGCCTGATTAGGCTGGGATAGAAGCTGTTTTGACAGTAACAACCAAGTTAGAATTAAAGAGCAAGAGTAAGTTTTTACTCGAATATACCTTGGGGAGGGGAGTGCGGATAACATTTTAAATGAGTTCATGCTTTACAGGAAAAAAAAAAGAACAAGAAACCTAAAACTAACAGATTCACCAAAATTACTAGGAAAATGACCATACATTTTTATGCAAATATACCAGAGAATTAATTCAGGTAGAACTACAAGACTGAGGCAAACATGAAAAAAATCACTCTCCCAAAGAAATCTACAATGTGAGAAGCATTACAATTCCTGGATTCCAAATATACTACAAGGGCACAGTAAGCATAGTATTTGATCTGACAGCCCATCAAAGGACAGGGATACACAGATTTGGTCTTTAGCTCCTAATTTTGGCTTGGCCCCACTCCATTTTTGTGGACACTTGGGAGATAATAAAGTTGATGGGAGATTCTCTCTATCCCTCTCCTTTAAAGGGAGGAACCGCTAAGCTAGCTATGTAGATAGAGATTTCAGAAAATAATGATCATTCATTGGAGTTTTCATTTTAAATGAGTTTGTGATCTGTGTGCTACATAATTTTATAGACACTAAGGCAGTCATTATCTTCTCAACAATGACAACTTTACCACATAGAAAATGAAAATTAATTCAGCAGCTAATATATCTTACCTTTAACAATGCAGTATCTATGTATACTGTTCTTGATTTGTTGTATGAATAAATCAGAAAATTTGGATGTAGAAATGATCTAGTTAAATGAAAAAGTAAGACTTTATTGAATAATATCAATTAAAATGATTTTTTAAATAATAAAAGCAAATTAAATTTATTTCCAGTTTTCAAAAGCAAACATTCAAAAGTAAGTCAGCATATCTGTACAATATCTAGTGTACTTTTTTTACTACTCTATTGAATTAAAAGAAAAGCATGAGAAGCAAAGAAAGCTAGAAATTATTATTAGACTTATGGATTTAAAATGCTCAACTGGCAAAGACAGATTTATGTAAAGTAATCGCTAGGTTTTCTAAATGTCAATAACATTCTTAGGTTTGATTAAAGCATCAATAAAATGCAGATGTTAACTGCTTTGTTTAGCATATTCTAAACAATAGTGATGGGTTATTTCACACATACAGACATCTATGCCAACATACACACATTATTTCGAATAGTTCGTGGAAACAAAGTTCAGGGATCAATCTTGAGCTCAAGCTACTGGTCTAACTTGTGCAGATGGCCTGGGAAAGCAATAGAGGACGACCTATGTGCTTGGGCCTCAACGAGCCCGTGGGCTGCTGACTTCAGCCTGGACAGCACTGAACATCATGGGGGTTTAGGTCGTAAGTCAGAAGTTTGAAGGCTTATCTCTCTTTGCCTCTGCCTCAGGCTTTTCCATTCTGTCACTCTGCTATGCGATAGCATCTAGAGTTGATCTTTGTATATGGTGAAAGACTTTCTGTTTTGTTTAAATGATGTATGTATTGTTATGACATTACCATGCTACTTGAATTATAATAGTTTTACAGTATGTTTTTAATGAACATATTGGAACTGAGCAAATCTAGAGCAAAAAGTGAAAACCAGTCAGCCAACACTGACAGACATGTGATAGACACCGTTTAGAGAACCAGCTGTTCCTCTTCAGCTCTGGCACTGCCAGCACCTTCAGAAAAAGGCTCAGCACTCAGTGGTGGAGACATGAGAGGTAAACACAGTGGCAGTGGTTGTGGAGGCTGTGGCAGGAGGGCAGTGTATGATCCCAGCCTGTGGTTGAAAATCACTGGAGGGACTGGTTTGAGTGCCACCGTGGAGTTCTGGGTACTGGACAGTCAGTACCTAGTAAAGTCAGCTTGCAGACCTGTGGATGACACACATAAAAAAAGCAACATCTGCCAAGGGAAAAATACTAATGTTAGGTAGATGGCTAAAGGGAAAATATGAGCAACCCTGAAAACTGACTTTTCCCTTACAAAGGAGAAAAAAAAATTGTTTCGATTTCAGAATTAGCTGAAAAACAGCTAAAGAATGTTTAAAGATCATTATCATGAAATTCTTCACAAATCAGAAGCAGAGTTCAAGGAATTTATTAAGCAGCAGATAGCAGCATTGGAACAAAATCAAACAAAAACCATAAATGAAAAAATTCAACGAGCAAATTAAAAAGCAATGGAAACTCTCAACAGTAGAATTAATGAGGCATAAGAACAAATATCAGAAGTGGAAGACACTTCAGGAGAAAGTGTCTGGTGAGAAATATGAGAGAGAAACTGAGTAAGCTAGGAAAACCATCCAGGAATTATCTGACACCACCAAAAGGCCAAACATAATGGTTCTAGGACTCTGTGAAGGCAAGTAAAGCAGTGAGAGAGATCACTGCTGGACCTCTGCGTGCTTAGCCTGTGTGGGAAGTTGTAAGCATAGGGCACACTGTGTCCCAGGGAACCGCCTGACAATGGTTTTGTCTGACACGTCTAACTGTCCTGTTCACTGACTTGCAGCAAGAGCAGTGGGCTGCACACCATTCTTTCTCCCCTGTCCTTCCTTGGATGAGCAACACTTGCTGAAGACACCAAACTTTTCCAATATTTTTGTTTGTTTGTTTTCTTCAGTTTTCTCAGCAAAGATTGGTTGGTTATACATCTGTTAGTTCCCTTCTGGAATTTCTATTCTGTTCCATTGATCTTCTTTTCTGCTTTTGTACCAGTACTAGACGATTCTGATGACCAGTGTCCTACAGTGTGACCAGTGTCCTGAGCTCTGGAATTATGATTCCTCAAGCTTTAATTTTATTCTTCAGGACAGCTTTGACTAATCATGGTCACTTGTGTTTCCAGGTGAACTTTTCTATCATCTTTTCCATTTCTGAGAAGAATGTTGATATTTTGATTGGGATAACCCTAACTTTGTATATTAGTTTTGGTAGCGTGTACATTTTGATGATGTTTTTCCTGCCAATCCAAGAACATGGTTCGTTTCCATGTTTTAAGGCCTTCTATTTTTTCTTGCTGTTCCATAACTTTCATCATAGAAGTCTTCCACATTTTTGATTAGCTTAATATAAGTTCTAATCCATGGATTTATTTGTGTGCTGATATTTAATTTTAATTAAAATTTTGTGTGCTGATATTCTGCAAAATTTTCTTAAGATTTCCTAGTCTCCTGATTGAATTTTTTGGTTCTCCTATGTAGAGAATTATATCATCTGAAAAGAGGGTTGATTTTAATTCTTCTTTTCTGATTTGAATTCCTTTAATTTATTTTTCTTTCCTAATAGCTCTAGCAAGGACTTGAAATGTAATTATATTGAATAGCAGTGGTGATTATGGACAATCTTGTTTAGTTTCAGATCTTAGTGCAAGAGCTTCCAATCTTTTCCCTTTCAGTATGATGCTGACATTAGATTTTTCATGTATTGCTTTGTGTCGTAGAATGTTCTTTCTATGTCTGTTTTGACTAGGGCTTTTAATTGAAGTGGCATTTATCAAATGGCCTCTTTCCATCTATTGAGATGGTCATAGGTTATTATTTTTCAATTTGTTGATGTTTTATATCACACTTATTGATTTGCATATTTTTTTAAAGCTTTGTTTATTTTTATTGCAAAGTCAGATATACAGAGAGGAGGAGAGACAGAGAGGAAGATCTTCCATCGGATGATTTACTCCCCAAGTGACTGCAATGGCTGGTGCTGTGCCGATCTGAAGCCAAGAGCCAGGAACCTCCTCCAGGCCTCCCAGGCGGGTGCAGGAACCCAAGGCTTGGGGCCGTCCTTGACTGCTTTCCCAGGACACAAGCAGGGAGCTGGATGGCAAGTGGAACTGCCGGGATTAGAACCGGCACCTATATGGGATCCTGGCACATTCAAGGCAAGGACTTTAGCCCCTAAGCTACCTTTCCAGACCCTGATTTGCATATGTCAAACCACCCCTGCATGCCAGGATAAATCTCACCTGGTCTGGTAAATAATTTGCATAGGTACTGTTGGGTCTTTTTTACTAGTAATTTGTTAAGGATCTTTTCGTCTATGTTCATCCGGGGTATCAACTTATAGTTCTCTTTTATTATTGTGTCTCTGTATTTATTATTAAGGTGATGTTGGCTTCAAAGAAAGAGTTTGGAAGGATTGCCTCCAATTCTATTGTATGGAATTGTCTGAGGTAAATTGTATGAAGTTTGGTCTCTTCAGCAAGTGTTGCTGATCCAAGGAAGGTCAGGGGAGAAAGAATGGTGTGCAGCCCACTGCTCTTGCTGCAAGTCAGTGAACAGGACAGTTAGACGTCTCAGACAAAACCATTGTCAGGCGGTTCCCTGGGACACAGTGCGCCATAAACTATTGTATGAGGTAAATTCTTGAAGTATTTGGTAGAACTCAGCCTTGAAACCATCTAGTCTAGGGCTTTTCTTGGGTGGGATTTTTTAAATTACTAATTCAATCTCAGATCTTGTTATAGCCCTGTTTATATTATGAATTTCCATATTATTCAATGTTGGTAGATTGTATCACCCCCAAATCTGTCCATTTTTCTATGTCTTCTGATTTGTGAACATATAATTGCTTGTAATAGTTATGAAGATTCTATGGATATCTCAGGTATCTTCTGTTCTTAATATTCAGTACAATGATATATATATAATATTAATACTATATTAGCTATAAGTATATGTATATTAGTGTTATAAATAAATATAATTTTATAGGAATTAGGAGCTTCCTCTTAATATCCCACATGGCTATGGGGCCAAGCACTTCACTACCCTCCACTGCCTTTGTAGGCACATGAAAAGGATTTGGATATGCAGCCATTTATACCAGACTCCAACTGGTGCCTATATGCAATGCCAACACCCCAGGCAGTGGCCCTAGCTGGTATACCACAATGCCAAACTCCTCACACCCTACTTCTGTGGGAACGGAAGTTCTGGAGTTAACTATTAATGTGACAGTTTACTGCTTTTAATGAGCATTTTTTATGAGCTTTTAATGTTTCATTTTTCTTTCTCACATGAGAATTTATCACAAACGGTGAAGCTTGGGTTTTTCTTGTGTCTGCAGTAAAATTAACATTGAAATCATCTTCAAAGCCTGACTGATTTTATTGGCATTGGGGTTGCTCATTCTTTACCTCTGCAGCAATTTTACCCTTACATCTGCACTATCTAGTAAAATGGTGACAATCAGACAGCTGTGTGACATGACAGGCATGATGAAAACTAGTAAACATGGACACATAAAAGTCATATCATTGATTGTCATGCTTACGGCATACTTTGAAGACATAGAATTATATTTTCATCAGAACTTTATTGATATTTTCATTCATAAATAAGATTTTGGCTACATAATGAGATTTAACCCTAAAATTCATATTCCGTCAAAAGCAATTTAAGATATTGATTGTAGAAATTAAGACACTAATAGCAATTAGCTGAAAATAAAGCAGACCACTTACTGTCTTTCAAGAAGAAGCGTGAATTTCTCTTTTCCAATTTTGATTGAGTAAGTGACCTGCATAAAAGTTCACACAGAGAAGTAGCTGTTAGAAATTACACACTACTTTGCATTGTATGTAGACTTTCATGTAACATTGACTGTACTCTGCCTGCTTCAGATTTGGGATGTGTTTAAAAAAAATCACTAATCATTGAATTTAAATGAAACCACACTGTCTGTGTGTCCATACCTAAGGGCACTGCTGATTAGCACTTACTACATGTCATAAACAGATTTGCATTTAAAATGAAGATTGCGTTTAGGGATGCTGAGTAACTGCATAGAAAACAATTTGTGATATATTTTTTTTCCTTTTCTGTTCCAAATGAGTCTCTTAAAAACCAAATAGACAACAGTATTTCCTCATCAAGAGTGAGGCATTCGTTCCACTCATATGTCATTCCCAAATCTCTTTTTCTCTTTGTTGTTTGACAGTTGCTTTAGCTGAAGAAGGTCACTTGAAATGACGTAAATCTCCAGGAAAGCCCATATTTTTCAGAAACCATCCTTGTAAATGGATATTTACTCTCATTGAAAAAACAGGTGCAATACAATGATATTTTTGCAACAAATTCATCTACAAATCAACAATTACCCTTTTATATTACGAAGGGGATTCATTCTGATGGAATTTATCTGGTGACATAATGTGTATATATTTTAGTCATATGTAAGATATTGAGATAGAAAGCTTATGAAGAAATGATCACTATAATCAAATTGATTAATATAACACTAATGACATATAGCTGTGATTTTATTTCATGTGCCGAGAACAGTTAGATCTACTAATCCATGTTGACTATGGAATCTGATCTGAGATCACCCCAGATGAGGTTTTGTTTAGGATCTTCCAAACTGAACAGCTGGACTCAGAACTCCAACAATGTGGAGAATTTCAGTATGTGTGGACTTCATGGACTGCATGTGTTAGAACTGGGCCTCAATAGCTTAGATGGTGTGATGGATGTCATGTCCAGATACGCATGGAGGCTGTGACAGTCCATTGGAGCCTGCAGAGGACATCTGGTACCATAGCAGAGGAAGGAGGGCAGAACAAAGAAGACAACTACTCCAGCCAAGCTTTAACAGCATGTATCTGGATGAATGGAGACACTAATTTGGACTATGAAGCCAAAGGACTTTGGAAGGATTTCTGCTTCCTTGAATTGGTGAGATAAGCAGCATCTCAGAGCCATCCAAACCACCTAAGCGGAACCCTCAGAGCATGCTCTGCAACAGGGATCGTGAAATGACATTGAGTGACCAAGTCCACATCCCTGGGTACTGAACAAGCGGTCCTGTTATTTACTGGAATTATATTATTGTTATTATTATTATTATTATTATTATTATATGATATAGTTCCATAGGCTCCAGGACTTCCATTTCCCCTCCCTAACTCCCCTCCCCAATACAAATTTCCCTTCTCTTATTACAATGGATAGACCTTCATGAACAATCATAAGTTCATTCTGCTATTGAAGTGTTTCTTGACATTGTAGGCATGAACAATGTCAGAGAGATCAGCCGCCTAATATCAGAACCTATTCAACATTTTCCCTGGGAGTCCATCTTTGGACTTAATGCAGAGACATACTGCACTATGTCTCAAAATTGGACCTGTCAGTCTAAGCTGCCCTTCTATTATACATCCCCTTATATACAGAGCCAGAAAACACAGTCTGCAACAGGGAGAAAAACAAAATTGTCACCAGTATGAAGCTAAACAACATGCTACAGAAACAGCAATGTGTCACTGGAGTGATGGAAATCAAAACCTTCCTGTGGGAATTGATGCTACTGGATGACACATGTGACACCGAAGCGGTCCTCCCTCAGTGAAAGGCAAACAAAGAGAACCCTCCGCTCCCCCTCCAGCAGGTGGCCAAACCTGGCTAACACAGGTTAGCACAATTAGGTTGAGTCCCAAGCACAGAGAAAAACAGGTCTGGTCAGTAGCAGGAGGAACCTGAGACAAAAACAAACAAACAAACAACAAAAAAAAAAAACCAAAAAACTAGACCAGCAAGACTTCAGGTCATCCACTAGGTGGCAGCAGAGATAACCATGGGGCGAAGGAAGATAAATGAACCAGAGGAAGGAGCCAGTGCCTCCCCAAAAACTCACCAAAAGCCCTGGTCAATCGCAGAGATTACAGATGAAGAAACTGAAGATGTATCAGACAAGGAGTTCAGTAAAATAATTATAATACTCTTCAGAGACAACGAAAAATGATGGGAGGACCTTAAGGAATTCAAAACTCATATAATTACAGAAACAAAATTACTCAAAACCGAAATTCAACACCTCAAACACACATCGAAAGGTTATCCAATGGAATTGCTGCAACAGAAGATAGGATATCTGAAATGAAAGACTCCCAGAATGAAAGCACACATATCATTAACCAATTGGAGACACATGTACACAAGGCATCCAAGGCATTCCAAGAGTTGAACAACCACATGAGAAAGTCAAATATCAGAATTATGGGGCTCCCAGAAGGAGTGTAAGAGAGACAGGCATACAACCAGTGCTCAACGAAATCATACAGGAGAATTTCCAAAATGCCTGGAACGTGAGCCCAGTCCCAATCCAGGAAGGTCAGAGAACACCCCACAGGATTGACCCAGAAAGATCTCCCAGACAGGTGGTAATCAAGCTTCCCTCCAATGAACACAAAGAAAGAATCCTTAGGCTGGCAAGAAGCAAAGACAAGCTTACATTTAGAGGCAGGTTCATCAGAATCACAACTGACTTCTCAGAACAGACGCTCCAGGCAAGAAGGGAATGGAATAAAATCTTTCAAATACTGAAACAGAACAATTGTCAACCAAGAATATTGTACCCAGCAAAGATCTCCTTTGTATTCGAGAATGAAATTAAATACTTCCATAACAAAGAGAAATTAGAAGAATAAGCCAGCACAAAACCAGCTCTACAGAATCTCCTCAGAAATGCACTACTTCGGGCCCGGCGCGGTGGCGCAAGTGGTTAAAGGTCCTCGCCTTGCACGCCTGGGATCCCATGTGGGCGCCGGTTCTAATCCTGGCAGCCCCGCTTCCCTTCCAGCTCCCTGCCTGTGGCCTGGGAAAGCAGTGGAGGACGGCCCAAAGCTTTGGGAACCTGCACCCGCGTGGGAGACCCAGAAGAGGCTCCTGGCTTAGGATCAGCATAGTATCGGCCCGTTGCGCTCACTTGCGGAGTGAATCATCGGACGGAAGATCTTCCTCTCTGTCTCTCCTCTCTGTATATCCGCCTTTCCAATGAAAAAATAATAAAAATAAATCTTTAAAAAAAAAAAAAGAAATGCACTGCTTCCAGAGAAAAAAGAACCAAAGTGGGAAGTGGGAAGACTACCACATTAAAGCTCACACAAGGAAAGACACTCAGAAACCACCATCCTCAAAGACACACGTGTATGGCAAGACAAAATCACAACCTCTCAATAATAACCCTTAACACAAATGGCCTCAATTCATCAGTCAAAGAACACAGATTGGCAGACTGGATTAACAAACAAGACCCAACTATCTGCTGCCTACAAGAGAGGCATCTAACCAGAAAAGACGCTAAGAAACTGAAAGCGAAGGAATGGAAAAGGATATTCCACGCCAATGGACAGGAAAAAAAGGCCGGTGCAGCGATTCTAATTGTGGACGAAACAAACTTCAACGTAACAAACATCAAAAAGGACAGGCAGGGCCAGTATATATTGTTGAAAGGCAGGATCCATCAGGAAGAAATTACCCTTCTTAACATTTATGCTCCAAGTCCAGATGCAACCTGCTACGTGAAACAACTACTACATGTATCCAATGCAATAAGATAATGCGTTGTAACCTATAAAACAACAATTAATGTGAGTCAGAATGCTTATGATCTACATCAAAGAACTGTAAAATCTAAAACACTCATAATACCCTATGTTACTCCGTAATGGGGAGGGAATGCAGAGAAATCTTCCATCTCCCTAAAAAGTGAGAGGAAGACGTGAAATATAGCCTACCAGGATCAAATCTGATAACCCATAGACAACAGACTCAAGTCGGCACTAGACAATAGTAAAGCTACACAGGCATAAGGGGGAAATCGGGAGCGACCCTGAAAGCCTCTTATCAGGAGGTCATGCGTATGGAGCAGAGGGGAGACTCCAGAGTGGAGTGGGAGGTCAGGGGGAGACTCGCATCCCAACCCTGAAGACTCCCAGATCCTCACCAAAACCATCAAATCAGACACCAAGGACTACATCCCAACCGCTAAGGAGACCACGGGGAATAAGAGTGCCTTTGGAGGCCGAGAACTCTGAGGTCACCCACCCCCATCTGGAGGCTCCACAGGGGATGGAAGAAGTCCAAACTCTGCTGGGAAGAAACCCGTGGCATCAGAACAACGGCCAGGAGCCCTGAGCGATCTGCAGAAACAGAAGAATAATAAACTTCCTTTGGGACTAGGGAGTCGGGCTCCCTCTGGTCCTTGCCTGGCTCTGGTTCTGGGTTCCCACCCTCCCTCGCGGTGACTATTAGGATCGCTCCAGTAACCCCTCAAAACAAACAAACAAACATACAAACAAGAAATCTAGAATGGACAGACAACAACATGGGAAGCTTAGAATCAGACAGGAAACGCCCAGCGTGGACCCAAACATACCTCACTAGGTGGGACACAAAAATTAGTTATGCCTCACTGGGGTATTGGGAATGTCTCTGCACACACATCCTAAAAAAATGTACTGTACCTAAACTGATAACGGTATGGAATCAGGTTGAATATAAACCAAAATTGCAATGTCTATGAAGAAGTCACAGGATGTAGTTAAGAAACCGCATTTTCCTATCAACATACTATTAACCAATTCCATGTCAATTAATGCCATAAGGTTGTAAATGGCTGTTGGTGTTATGTTGGGGCTTTTAACTGATTGGGATGATACTTTGCTGGCTTTAGCTTCAGACCAGAGATGGTCTCACCAAGAAATCATTGAACCCACTAGGATAATAAGACACTGGACTTTATGCTTGGTAAATACTTCCAACGAAAGAACCTCAACTGAATTTGAACTGTGGTAACGCAGCAAGGTGGAGAAATCCACCATGGGGAGAAGGTTTGGGGAGGGGTGGGAGGAATCCCAGTGCCCATAACACTTTGTCACATAATGCAATGCAATTAATAAAACAAATTTTTTTTTAAATCCTTGAAACAAATTAGCATTAAGTCTGTTGGTTGACTGTGTGAGAACTGTTGCTTCTTTGCTATGTTTCTATCTCATCAGTCTCTCTATTGATGTTAACAGGGTGTTGAGGTCCCGGTATTATTGTAGTGGCATCTATTTCTCCTTAGGTACATCAATAATTGTTCCATGTAGCCAGATGCTCTCGTATTTGGTGTGTATACACTTATTCTTCTGAGTGGATGGATTCCTTTATCATTATGTAGTGTTCCTCTTTATTTCCTTTAATGTTTCTCATAGTGGAGTCTGTATCATCTGATAATAGAGTGGCTACACTGGCTGTTTATCTTTTCCATTGACATGAACTGTTGTTTTCCATCCATCCTTTCACTCTTGGTTTAAATGTATCTTTGTTTAATAGATGTGTCTCCTGTAGGCAATGCATAGATGAGTCCTGCTTTTTGATCCATTGTTAATTTATGTCTTTTCAAAAAGAGATTTATTTTTTATTGGAAAGTTAGCTACACAGAGAGGAGGAGAGACAAGGAGGAAGTTTCATCTGCTGATTCACTCCCCAAGTGACCGCAACAGCCAGTGCAGCACCAATGCAAAGCCAGGAGCTATTCCAGGTCTCCCATACAGGTGCAGGGTCCCAAGGCTTTGGGCCGTCCTTGACTGCCTTCCCAGGCCACAAGCAGGGAGTTGGATGGGAAGTGGGGCTGCCAGGATTAGAACTGGTGATCATATGGGATCCGGGTACATTCAAGGCAAGGATTTCAGCTGCTAGGCCATTATGCCGGGGCCAATTTATGTCTTTTGATTAAGTTAAGCCATTTGTGTTCAGAGTTAATGTTCATAGCTTGTGAACTCTGTGTGTGTGTCTGTGTGTGTGTGTGTGTGTGTGTTGTTCAGGTCTCTGTTTAACTTTGGTTTATTTTGTGTGCTTTCATGGGAAGATCTTCCCCTTTGCCATCATTGATTATGATGAATTTCTTTTCATTCTGTCTTCAGCACATTTGTCAGCATCAATTTTAGGGCTGGCTTGGTGTTTGCACATTCTTCTAACTTATCTATATAATGGAAACATTTTATTTCATTGTCAACACAAATGAGGTCTATGCTATCTATATTCTTTATGTTCAGTTGATGGGAATCTACAATGATGTGTCAGAATAAGTTTTTTTTTTTTAATCCAAAATGTTCAAGGTTCTCTGCCCTTCCTATATTTGGGTTCCCATTATGTTCTCTATAATTAGAAAGTTCTCTTTTGTAATTTCATGGGACACTTCTTGCAATCCTGCCTCTCTTTCCATGCCTTCAGGAGTACCTAGAAATTCTGGTACAGTTTTGGATGGTGTCATTCATTTCTTAGATCAACTTCTTACCTTCATTCAGTCTCTTCCCTATGTCTAATTGTGTTTTCTCAAATTGGTTATCCTCCAAATCTGATATTCTTTGTTCTGCAGCATCCATGCCATTGTTGAGGGTTTCTGTTGTGTTCTCAAGGTCTTCAGTTTGGGGCTTGTTTATAGATTTTATCTCTGTGGTGATATATTCTTTAAATACCTCCAAAACTTGCCATCTTTTCTCATTGTCTCTGAAGAGTTTTGTGATGAGTTTTTGTACTTCCTGTATGATCTTTTGTTCATTTTTGAGGGACATGCTAGCTTTCTGTATATTCTGTTGCTTCCTGTTTTTTTCTGTTGCCCTTTCCCATGGTCTTTTAGATCTGCAGGCTTTCTAGTTGCTATTGGTCATGTGCATGCTCCTGTGTGCCTTCAGTCTCTAGTGTTTTAGTGGGGTTGTCTGAGGAGTCTGGGTTTGGGGAGGCTGCTGAGATTCAGGGACACTCACTGTGCACCAGCTTGGGGAAGGTTCCTCTCTGACCTGCCTGCTTCCAGAATTGGATCAGGCAAGTGGTGGATTAGTGCAAGCGGTGGGTTGGAATGGATAGGGCAAACACTAACAGCTGTGGCCATTTGCAGCTGACAGATACAGATTTCACACTGGTATGCACACATTTGCTCCAGATCCAAACTCTGTCCCCCAGGGATCCTCTCTCTCTCTCTCTCTTTGCATGTGGGTGGACTCAGTTCTCATTCCATGTGTCCCTCTCAGATGCTTCTCTCCCCAGATGCTATCTCCCAAACAGCTTATTCACCAGTGGTGTGACGTCTTCAGCCAAGGGATCATTTGATCAGACACCCATGGGTTTCTCCTCAGGTTCATCTTCTTTGACCTTCCTTGTCCTGCAAGTTTTGTTTTGTTTTGTTGTTTGTTTGTTTTTTGTTGTTGTTGTTGTTTGCTTCCCACTGTCTTTTTTGGGAGGCTCCTACTGGGATTCTCTCCATTCCTGTTCCTTCTGTAGTGGTTGAAAACTCACTAGGTTTTTGTCTGTGGCTTGGGATGTCTTCCCATAGTTTTCCTGTGCTCATGCTCCTGGGATACCAGCTACAATACTGAAGACCATCAATTTATGTTTATTAAGACCATCAATTTATGTTTATTGGCTTTATACACTGCTACCTTGCCAAACTCTCTTATGAGTCCCATTAGTCTCTTTGTTGAGTATTTTGGCTTTCCTGTGTATAGAATAATGTCTTCAGTGAACTGGGATAATTTTAATTCTGTGGTTAGCCTGAACTTATTTTGGATAGCATCTGTGGGATACCAAGCCTGTAGTATTTTCCTGGTGGGAGCAGTGAAATGCTTCCCTGGTATGAACATTATGTAGAAGCCTTCTGGAGAGCTGGATGTGCAGTCCTCTCTGGGCTTAACTCACGTGCCGTTCACACTTGCTTTCCAGGGACATTGCAGCAGTTCTCAACATGGCACTTGAGGTACCTCTCCTGATGCTCATGGTGCCGGGTTGCTAACTCTACCCTGTTTCAACACCCTCCACAACAGCTCCACTGCTCTACTGTGGCTCATAATTAGATTAATAATGCAGCAGTACCCACATCCTATGGGTTGATTCACCTCCTACACTCCAGGTGTTCTCCCCTGCCTATCTGTCCACCAGTGGAGATCTGATTGCCACTGAGGTATCTGTTTGCCACCGCAAATGTCCACGACCCCCTGGTGTCTCTGCTTTGAACCCTCCCACTCCTTTTGCCTGGAATTGTGTCCTCCTTGCTTCTCCTCTGCTAATCTGTCAGTGTCCAATTTAATGTGTCCTCATCCTATGCCACCATCTTGCTCTTTTTTCCCAATATATAACTTTTTTGAAAATGTTTTCTATTTTTTATCCTTTGGGCACTGGCTGATTTCACTAAGCATAATGCTTTCCAGTTGCATCTATTTCCTGTAAACAAGATTTCATTCTGGTTTTACGTCAATTTCACATTGTATATGTGTACGTTTTATTTATCCATTTATTTCATGAAGGATGAAAATCTGAGACAACTCCAAAAGTTAATGACTTACCTATTGCGAAAAGTTCTTCTATGTGATTTTTTTTAAATTTAAATTCCTGGGAGTGGAATAGATTGCTCACATGGTAGATTCATCGTCTTACTTCTGAGATCTTCATACTGTCTCCCGCTGTGCTAGCTTATGTCCCCAGCAATCGATTATGAAAACTTTTCTCCTCATCCACACAAGTATTTATTATTTATTCACATTGTGATGATAACCATTCTATCATTTATTTGTCATTTCTGTGATACTGACCCTGAGCATTTTTCCATGCCCCTGTTGGTCATTATCAGCTCACCCACTGATGAATCCCTCTTTATTTCTGTTATCCATTTCTTTTTTGGATTTTAGTTGTGCTGTTGTGGAGCTTATAAGCCCCTTTATAAGTCCTAAGTATTAAACATGTATTCATTGCCTAACTGATGAGTATACTCTCCCATTCTCTAAGTTGCATTTTCACTTGTTGAATATTTGCTTTGAAAAGCAGAAACTTCTGTTTCCCATAACTATCTTTCCACTTCCAAAGCCTGTGCTTCTGGGATCTTTTCCATGCAGACATTTCCTATTCCAGTGCCAACACAGATTGTCTGATGTTTTCCTCTAATAATTAGTTGCATTAAGACATAGATTTTATGCTTGATACATGTTGATTTTCATATAAGGTGTTTCAGACTATTGCATGTCGTGGCCCAATTTTTTTTCAGAACATTTATTGAAGAGATTATTCCCTAACCCAGGGATCAGTGTTATCACATGTGTAAGAGCTTTGTTGGTCGTAGATGAGTGGATTGATTTCTCAAGTTTCTAGTCTGTTCCATTTGCTTGTGCACTTATTTTTGGCCACTACCAAATTGTTTTGAATATTACTATCGCAAGAGTGTCTTGAAGTATGGCATTGTGATTCTCTCTCTGCTTATTTTGTATATGTTGTTTTTGTTCTCTCCACTTCCTTTATATGTCTTCTCCTGTGAAACTAACTACACCAATGTTGTGTTTTTGACTTGCATTTTCTGATGGTTGGCAAGATCCTTTCTGGACTTCCTAACTGGAATGATTCCTTTGCTTTGTTGAGTTTAATGAATCGCTGATCTATTCTGAATAATATTCTCCGAATATTAATAGTTTTTCATGTAAGTAGCCTAATTCTGAACCTTTGGAGTTTTATAGTCAAAATCTTCACTTAACAGCAATGTCATGAAATGTGACTGGATGCTTTCTTCTGGCAATTTCATTAGTGCAGATCTTGCATTCCTGTCTGATTCATACAGATTTGACTTTTTCGTGTATGTTGAGAGGTAGGGATCTAATTAAAGTCTTCCACCTTTGTCCTTCCTCCTGGCACCTCTGAAGACAATCAGAGGGTTGTAGGATATGGACCAATTCCTTGGCTCATTATTCTTATCCACTGAACTATTTGTCAGATTCTGTTATAAACAAGCTGATTTAATGACCATCTTGTGTAAAATGCTGAACACAGTGAAGTGCATCTAGTTTGATTTCTCTTATACTACCATCTTTATGCTAAGCATTGTTTTGCCTCTTCCTGGTCTTTTATAATTTCAAGTGAATTTTAGGATAGTTCATCTTAGATATGTGGAAAACGGCATTGACATTCAGTAGAACATGCACGGAATCTTTGGATTGCTGTATATATATTGTATGGAAATTTCACTGATATTAATTCTTGTAATCTCTAAGAAATAAATATAGTGCCATTAAGATCCTGGAGTAGCTCTTTCATCCATGCTCTATGGTTTTTATTATATAAATTATTCAATTCATCCATCACATTCATTCTGAAATATTTTTGCTTTGTAAGTATATAAATGCATTTTTTTCTTCATTTTGTTCACAGAGATAACTATTCATGTATAAAAATGTTGCTGGGGGCTGATGCTGAGGCATAATAGGCTAATTCTCCATCCTGTGGTACCAGGATCCCATTTTGGCAACAATTATGTTGGCTGTTCCACTCTGATCCAAGTTCTCTACAATGACCTGGGAAACTAGCAAGTCTATGGAACCCTGAACCCATTTAGGAGACCCAGAGGAGGAGGCTCCTGGCTCTTGGCTTCAAATCAGCTCAGCTCTGCCCATTGCAGACATTTGGGGAAAGAGTCAGCAGATGAAAAACCATCTTTACCTCTTCATTCAAAACAGAAATAAAGACAAACTAGCTAAAAATGTTATTGAATTTATACCCTGAAAGTTCACTGGATTGGCTTATGGTTTCTGATGAATTATGCAAGTTTTCCCATAAAAGTCTCAATATTTAACTATAGACATTTTGACTTCTCACTCTCTTACTACGGAATTGAGCTTTAATATTGCTTAGCTCATTATGTGTCAGCCTTGTTATTAGTAAGCATTTTCTTAAAATTTAAAGTTGTAGTCTTACATATTGTCTTCCTTTTCCATTACTCTTTAAATATTGCAGCAAAAATGCTTGTTTTGCATTTATTAATCAACTTGGATGTTCTTCATGTGGAATATTTAACTTAATTTTCCCTTTGACACATTTCCATCAATTTTAATAGGATCCTTAGAATTTTTAAGGTTGGGCTTATTTTCTGTAATGTCTGATGTTAATGCTATATTTTTCTTTTTCACTAGAGTATTGAAGAACATTGTTTATATTCTAAATCATAGCTTCAAAAAGTTATACTACTTCTGAAATGATCTTTTTTTGCTTATTCGTTTGTAAGATCAAGCTGAAAGCAGTGAGGGAGTCAGAGATCTTTCACCCACTAATTTATTCTCAAAATGGCAGTTCCCAGTCAGGTTGGCTTCAGCCAGGAGCCTGGAATAGCGCTGTGGCCCAGTACACACGTAGCAGGTGCCCAAGCACCTGGGACACTACATTCTGCCTTACCAGGGACCTGGATCTGAAGTGGAATAACCAGGGCTTGTACCTGCTGTGTCAACATCCTGAGTGGTGCATTAGCCAGCCTCTATAAAACTGGCCCCTGTCTTATTGCTCAATAGCTTGGATTGTGATGAGTTGAATCAGTAGATAGATATCCAACCATATGTACTTGTTGCTGTCTTAGTATTTTAATCTTCACGGATACTGATTTTTTTTTTTGCATATCAGCTGAGATCTGATAAACAGATCTGTAAACAGATCACGCAGAATATCAATCTCACCTTCATGCCTTGTTTTTCACTGACATCACAGCAGTCCTCTTAGACTTTTGTCTGTTTTTAAGTTTAGCCCTCTCCTTTCTAGGAAACCTAGTGTTCTA